TTGTATTAACAGGATAAAAGAGAGAAAATATGATAACTTGAACAACTGATAAAATTCAGCATCCATTTATGTTGGTCAGTCTCAACATCTGCTTTGACGTTTCCTTTTTCCTGTGAGAAATTAAGGAGGTAATGCTAATTTCCTGCCTGCATAAGTTCACAGGTCAGGTAGGTTGGTTATCTAATATAAATGTGCCACTTTATTTTTCAAGTAACTGCATAAACTACAGATTTGAGGATGACACAAAAATCCAGTTTTTAACTAAGTGTGTGCTGTGTAGGTCTGGTCTGGGTGGTGTTTTCTTACATTGCTTTATCACAGGTTTGGGAAGAGACTGAAGCCTAATGAGTAATGGTGGAGAACTTACTGCTTCAGGGAACTTTCCCTCTGGGAACTCATTATTCAGTTTGGTTAAACCCCATTAAAAAAATGCTGCTGACTGGCAAATGTGCAAATTCACATTATTATGTTTTTAAAGCTCAAGAGATAGTGTATAGTATGGGAGAAGAAAATTGGTTAGTATGTCAGTGTTTCAAACCACGTCATATTGCTTTTTGGGTTTTTTTTTTTTTGTCTTACTCCTGGACAAATTTAGAAACCTTTGTCTTCATTATCATTGTACCCCTAATTGAAGAATTATAATTTCCCAGTTCAATGCAAACTAATTCCACTGCCTTACTTTGGTGAAATGACACCATTCCCGTCATTAAAAAAGCCACAAAATTAAAAGATGCTTGCTCCTTGGAAGAAAACCTATGACAAATCTAGGCGGCATATTAAAAAGCATAGACATCACTCTGCTGACAAAGGTCCATATGGTTTTTCCAGTAGTCATGTACGGATTTGAGAGTTGGACCATAGAGAAGGCTGAATGCCGAGGAATTGATGCTTTCAAACAATGGTGCTGGAGAAGCCTCTTGAAAGTCCCTTGGACAGCAAGGAGATCAAACCAGTCAATCCTAAAAGAAATCAACCCTGAATATTCATTGGAAGGACTGATGCTGAAGCTGAAACTGAAGCTCCAATATTTTGACCACCTGATGTGAAGAGCCGACTCACTGGAAAAGACCCTGACTCTGGGAAAGATTGAAGGCAGGAGGAAAAGAGGGCGACAGAGGATGAGATGGTTGGCTTTGCTGACTCAATGGACGTGAGTTTGAGCAAATTCCGGGAGATGGTGAAGGACAGGGAATCCTGGCATGCTGCAGTTCGTGGGGTCGCAAAGAGTTGGACACGACTGACCAACTGAGCACCACCACCATTCCTAGCCACCAGGAGCAAAGACAGTTCAGCAGTCTTTGTTGATGGCAGTCATAGATTTTACCTGGTCTACTAGACCAGCATAAATCAGTTTCAGAGGCAACTTTGAAAGACATTTTGACTCTTGACAGTATTTAGAGTTTTTGAATGTGTTTTAGGAAGTTAAAAAGACCATTGTATTCTTGTGATTTCCCTTCACTCTTAATTTTGTTTCTGAACCAACAGGCTCCCAGTAGAGAGACCTGACAGCTTAGGCTATGTATATTTTAATTTAAAATGAAAATCTTTGGGTCTTCAGGGCTTTGCCAAATGTAGTCAGTGAATGTATAAGAAGGACTTTGGTTCTTAACTGTACAAACTTAGAAACTGAAGCAAGAGTCCAGTTTAGGGAGCCCAAATAATTCAAAGACACAGTTTTATTTTGGTTGGCTTTCCTAAAGCACAATACATTCAGTGTCACTCAGGTTTATATAATAAACATCTAAATTTCGGAAAAACTTTCTCTTTTTGTTAATATGTTCAGGGGTTATACAATTCCAGGCTGTGTTTTGCATATACAGACACAAATAAAAGCTACACAATCTATCTTGCCTGTCTCTATTCTTGTTACATAAACCACTTATTTCTATGTTTCAGTTTTCTCCATCTGGGAAATGGGGATAATAGTAATAATGCAAACTTCACAGGGTTAGTGGTGGTAAGTGTTTCATGATCAATGTATAGAATATATACAAACCCTTGGCACAATGCCAATGACACATTAACTGTTTTAATAATCAGTTCTACCAACATTAATCTTGTAGAGGTTGGAGATGAAAATTGAGGGCAACAGTTTCCAATAGCAAGATCCCACCAAACGGGCAAACCTCAGACCCCAGTCCCATTTGCAATTCCTAAGAATTACGGAGATGAAGCTGTTTTTGTTTCTTAAAGGATGAATTAAAATAATCCCCACCTCAATCATCTCTCTTTTTATGTCTCTGTCCTCTGCTGGGATTAAAACTGTGACTTTTTCTTATGAAAAACTGAGGTTGTTGGTTCAAAGTATTTGTCTTATTTTTCTGATTTCTCCCCTTTCACTGGAGAGGACTCACTTTCCTCCTCCTCTGGGTATGACAGGCAGGTTGTGAGAGCCCAACAGTGTAACCTTCCTTCGAGTCCAAACTGACATTTTCAAGTACTGCCCAGCTTGGCAGCCTCAGCTCAGAGGAGCCTACGGTTCTCTTTCATTTTGCTTTCAGTCTTCCTAAAAACAAAACCAAACTCACAACTGGACCACATCAAAAGTACATCCATCCTCCTTTGGCTCAGTCCCCTTCTCTGACCATCTGTACAGAGTTCTCACTAAAAACAACATTCCATAGGCTCTTCCCATTGTGTGTGTGCCACCAACCCTACTGCCCAATGCTTCTCTGAAAGATAAATGAATTTCTTTCCCTTTTAGTTTACTCTTAAACTTTTGTTACTCAAGGAATCAGCTATCTTCCCCTCTGTGTCCCAATCAAGTCTCAATTTACCCTTTTGTTTAATGCCACCTTCCACATTTATAGTTTCTTAGGGATGGGTCAGCCTGAAATCTCATTGGTCCCTTCCCTTTTAAGCTTCCCAGGAAACACTTCTGCTTGAACCAGACCTTTGATCAAATCTCAGTTTGGTCTCTCGGGTTTATGTTTGCTTATTCTCGCCTCATCTCAGCTTTCTTTCTCCTTAATTCTTCATGCACCTAGTTATTACATTGTTCTAGCACTTGAAAGTCAATTTGAAATTCTGACATAGTTGATGCAATATTAGCAATAAGCTAATGTCTTCAAAGTTGTACATCCCTGGGAACTATTAATAGCACCTTCTCTCTGACCCTGAGCAGAGTGCCTCCGATTATTCTATTTCTCTGCTTGATTGTGTAGTAGAATTGGCAACCACAGATGGCGAGAACCTATACCTCCCTGCAGAGGTCCTCCTGGAAACCTATCAAATATTTTTTTCTAAGAATTTGGTCTTGAGAGTTGTATCAGTAGTTTAGGGGCTACACATCTGGGCATAAATATTGCTGATAACTATTTGGACTCTCTTTGGGTCTGCATCAGGCCATTCTTTTCCTGGAGCTCTTTGCCTGCTTACAATGAACAGCCTGCTTGTGTCATGCACATCTGCTCCTTTGGGATGCAGACCCAGGTGGGAGGGACTGTGTTGAGTTCATTGTGCTTGGTTCCTCACAGTGCCTGGTCCAGATGTTTCTTGATTGACTTTTGACTGAAGCAGTGTTTCTGATTCTACATAAGTGAACAGAGAAGTGGTGAGAAGGAGATAAAGGGGAAATGGATGCCCTAAAAACCAAGTGACTTTATAAGGTATCCCACACTGAGAAACAGGGTGAACCTCAGGCCTGAATTTGTTCTGTTCCTTGAAGAGGCCTGCCTAGATCTGGGTACTGAACTTTGTGAAAGGCCCAGATAAGAATAAAAATCATGAAACACAAACTTTTTTTTCTGTGGTAAATAAACTTTTTTTCTGTGGTGGCAACATTAGAGCACCCTAATGGGGAGAGCTTTTGAGTTAATTTGGATAATCTTCTCTTTAAAGGATTTTAAAGCTCTGATTCACAAAGAATGTAAAGAGTCAGAGGAAATTAGGGGCCCAGGAACCAGCCACAATGGGATTGTATGTTCTGACTTGAAAATATTGCAGTGTTTAAATTTCTTGTCTTCTGAGTCATAACTATAATGCTGGGATAAGAAATGGGACATCCAGATATTAGCATAGCTGTAATGTGATATGACTTCAAAGCTACTGTATGGTGGTTAGCTATTTTTCATCTCCAGTGAAATGGATAAGCCTTGGATGACAGGGACTTCAAGGCAATGAAAAAGACGTAGGAAAAATCAAAGAGTTAAAAATTTTAGTTCAGGGGAAATCATGAAAACTTCTAATCTACAGATATTCAGAAAGAGGGAAGAGTTCCCTTACTACCGCCTTTTAGAAACTAATTGGCAAAGGCTGATCTACCACCCTAACCAAGCTTATTTGAACTCATGTGTGTTAAAGCCTAAGATTTAGCAGGTGATTAACCTTATGGATGATGGTGTCTTAACATGGAGGAGACATTTGAACTTAGCCACACAAATATATCTTGTTCCCACTGAAACTGTTGGTAATTAGTCAAATCCATTTCCCCTGCATTCCCTAATCAAGGTTGTTTTAAGACTCCCATGTCCTCCAAGCTGCACGTGGCCCAGACGATAAGTAACCTGTTTGCCTGAGATGTTTTCCAGGAACCTGGAGTCAGCGGCATCTCGCTCAGCTGAACTGGTTGAAACTAGGTGGGATCCCTGACCCTCCAACTGGGTATGTGCGGGTGTCTACCTGTGCCCTTTGGAACGTGCAGAGGCCTGTAGGCTAGTTATGCGAGCAGGAAAGATGTTGACACACCTTTTCCCCATCACCTATTCCAGTCTCGCTACGCTCCCTGTGCCCCAGCCCCCCGTGCTTTGGGCTTCTTTATTCCTCATCCCAGATAAACCCTACCCTGTGCCTTCACGAAGGAGGATCTGAAGTTTGTTCTGCCATCTACTTGCATGGCTGCCATGTAGATAAACCCTGTCTTTGCTGCGAACCTCAGCGTCTCCGCGTTTTGGTTGCTGTACGTCGGGTAAAATGGACCTGGTTCCGAAACACTACCAAGCAGCATTAAAAACAAAGCCTCCCCCCCCCCCCGCCAAAAAAAAACTATAAGCTGGGCAAAATTATGGTAAACAAGGGCTTTACCTTACTTCGAGCAGATGCTGTTTCTATCTTTACTCGTAATGATTTTCATTAGTTTCACCAGGAGTCGGTCCCAGGCCTCCTCTGGGACCGGTTTTTTCACCTGCAGACTGAACATCCCGGCTTTCCCTACAGATAAGGGTGGGGAGGGTCAGGGAAACGTTTGCATAGGGCATCCCCTGGACCGTGGTAGCAGTAACTGCTGGGGAGAGGACAAAGTCTAGGTTTTCTCTGAGATTCCCAGGGCAGAGCTGGCAGTGATGAGGTGTGACTTTGTGCACAACCAGTCTTTCCACTTGGCCCTAGCTTTGGTAGAGATTTTTCATCTGTGTTGCAGTCTTAAGGGCCAGAGACAGTGATACGCAGCTTTAAAAGGACAAGGAGGGGAGGGAGATGTTTGTTAACTCTGGACAGTTCCTCTGGAGGTGGAGAGTCCTCCCGGCTCCTTCAGGGCTTCCTGGGACTGAGGACAGAAAACAGCACAGCTGGTTTCAATGAAGGGCCCCCATGGGTGAGAGATGCCAGCCAAGCAGGGGAACCTGCCACCCTGCAGGATTCAAGAGGTGCAGGTGAGGATCTTTTCTTTGCAGGCACTGCTTCTCCTGCTCTGCACAGCTCCATGGAGTGTCAGGTAGATGTGGCAGGTGAAGACCAGAGAGTTCCAGCAGTTTGCACAAGGTAACACAGCATGCAGGTGAAATATCTGGACTAAAGTCTGACTCAAGAATTTTTCCAAGACCCAACTTGTCCTTCTGTGAAGAATGTTTATCTTTGTTTTCCCCCTTTCCCCAAGTTTTAAACAGACTGTCTCCTAGGAGGAGAAACATTTGGGTATTATTGTTCCCCTGACATATAATTTGTGACCCCAGAGACCATTCTGGGGGCTGCCTGGAGCCACAGAAGCAGCAGCTGCCACTGTCATTGCCCCAGGTACTGACTCTCTCAGCCATGGAAAGTCCCTTCCCCAGATAGACTCTGGTTTTCCACTGGCTACTGCTGCTGCTAAAATAAAACTAGGCTGACCCCTCTACCACCCAGTGCTAACAGCTGGGGCTTCATCAGAGGTGTGACGAGGCCATTTCTTATGTGCTGTTTTGCTCCTCTGGCTGCCACATCTCTGCCTTCCAAGTGAACTGCTCTCGTTACTCTGTGCCTCTGCCAAGATCCTCCTCACAGGCTGGCTGTCTCCTGTTACCCTCCTGTTGAACTCAGAGTTGCCTTCCCCTCATGTAAAGAGAGAAGTCCATGAGCACAGAATTTGCACAGGCCTGTGCTAAGCGTGGATGAGGGACCACTATGAATAACTCTGGCCATCCCCTCCACCCTGAGTTCCTATCAACCCAACAGACACAGTCAAATGCCTTTCTTGTATCTTCCTACCACTGCACAAATCAGCACTATAGAAAGAACTAACAACAAATACATTTAGAATTGATATTTATAGGAGCAGGCTTGGTCTGGGTTTTCAGTCCTCCTGTAGAGAACAAAACTGAATCACAATATGTGAGTTTAAGCACTAGGCAGACACTGTCAGAAAACAATGCTGAATAATCATCCACCCATTTCTACAGGGCCCCCTCTCCATTTCCATGGACATATTTCCCAGACAAGCTACCAAACAGGTTAATTGTCCTACAATTTATTCACTTCAGGCCACAGGGGTGCTTGAACAAACTTTGTTGTTTACATCCTGCCCCCATCTTTTTTGGATACAAAATCCTTTAGTGCATTAAAAATAATTAGGTCAACTCAGCAAAGTTAAACAGGTTTGAAATTTGTTTTAGATGTTAGATTAATAGAACCATTTACTAGGTGGCCTTCATATGGCCTATGTGTTCAGTTCAGTTCAGTTGCTCAGTCATATCCAACTCTTTGCAACCCCATGGACTACAGCATGCCAGGTTCCTCTGTGCATGGGATTTTCCAGGCAAGAAAACTGGAGTGGGTTGCCATGCCCTTTTCTAAGGGATCTTCCAGACCCAGGGATCGAACCCATGTCTCTTACGTCTCCTGCATTGGCAGGTGGTTCTTTACCACTAGCGCCATCTGGGAAGTCACATGGCATATGGAAGCCAACAATTTTTAAGAAATAAAGAATAACAGAAGACCAATTACAAATTTGGGAGCATTTTAGAAAAAAAGGTCACAATGCTTCATTGAAAGCATCTCCATGTTCTTAAAATTAGGGAAAGTTTGCTATTTAAACTTTCAAAATGTGTTTTGAACATTATTTTAGAGAAAGAATAATATATTTTAAAAAGGGTGGCTGTTCCATTTCTCTAATGAAAGATCAGGAAAGCAGAGGTGAGAAAGTAACTTCAGTTTCACAGGCAGACATACCTGTGTGCATGTGTTTGCATGTACAAGAATGATGGCATCCTAGCCCAGGTAACAAGGGAGTTTGGTCAAAATGGGACTTCCTGGGGGCAGAGCAGCCACCAGCGTGAGAGTGAGGGTGGGGGGTGCTGAGCTTTTCAACACTGTCCTGGGGAGAGAATGTGAATCTGAGACAACCCCAAACTGGCTGAGCTCTCTGCCACTGGAGAGGAGGAGGGAGATGCGCTCACCCTGAGAGTGGCCTCCAGAGAACCCTGGGGGGGAAAGTCTGGAGCCCTGATCTGCATGAAGCAGCAGAGGGGGGTCATGGTCCGTGGCACAGGAGCCTGAGAGCAGTGACCCTGATGAGAACACTTATGTCTTACCCAAGGGAGATGTGGGCAGAGGATGGAGCTATTTGAATTGGAGGTACTTTTGCCTTTGCTAAATCTGTTCCAGGAGCCCAAGTCTTTTGTGCAAGGCCCGTTGACCTGATGCTGATGTCACCAGTCTCATAGTGCTGTCGGGCATTCCTCTTGCTCCTCCTGATGGTGGAAGTTTCCCATTTCCCCTTCCACCTTGGAGCTGATCTGTGGAGAAACAGGGCCTTCCCAAGAAGATAGAGCCTGAGTCGTGGGGTCAACACACAATGGTGGGATGAAGACTCAGGGAACAGGGCAGCACCCACGTCTTGGTCCCAGAGACAGTTACCCGCTAAGAGTGTGTGACAACCTGGAGCCCAACCTGGAGTCTTCCTAGTGCTGCCGGGAACCTGAGGGAGGAGTACAGCATCCCTGCAGTGGAGGTGACCAGCTGGTGCTATAGAACATCTATCCCAGTTGGGCAGGGCCTTGGAGCCACCCCTCTACCAGACTTCAGGGAATCACATCATCCGAGGACCTTGGAGAAGGAGGCTGGTGTTTGGGGATATCTAGAGCAGCGGATGTTACAGAGGTGAATAGGGGGCCAGCCTGGAGTTTCTGGGCAGGAAATCTGGGCTGCTGGCCTCTCTGGACAGGGAGGCAGGTGGAGGGCAGAGTGTAGCATGGTTCTGCCATGGCTGGCGAATCTCAGGTGAGGGTAGGAGGAGTCCCAAGGTGGTTGACTTCGATGCAGCTTGACCACATCTAGTTCAGAGTTGCAACAAAAGGGGATGCTGGGTGTTTCTGACCCTGGAGGGCTCATCTCTGTCCACAGCTGCAACTTCTCTTCTGCTTCCCTTTCTTGCAGGTTTGGGTCCCCCTTAGCTCCTCTCTTCCCTGTGGGAATGTGTACAGGGCTCACCCAACAGCAGGCAAGTGGAGCGTTTGGCAGTGGTGACTTTGCTGCAGTCCCTATGTTTTTCATGAAACAGCACCAAGATCAGTGGCTTTCTCTCCCTGGCTCTCCATGCTGGAGGCTTAGAAGACAGGAATCTGGTCTCTCCGAACCAGATCCAGGTCGTCATCTAAGGTTAACAAAACCTGAAACAAGGCGGGCAGAAAAATGAGAGGAATGCACAGTTGCGATAAGTCCCTGTTTTCTAAGGTTCACAAGTGTACTTAATTGTTTTCATGTCTTCTGCAGCTCTGTGCTCTTAATAGACACTTGTAATTCCACAATTCATTTATTCAAGTATCTATCAAGGGTCTATTAAGTGCTATTCTATATGCTAGGGATACAGCTTAGGATAAAAGAGAGACAAATGTCTACCCTGATGGAGCTTACATTTGAGAGAGGGCTTCAGACATGAAGCAAATGCAGGAACAGAGGCTACTATGTTAGACAGCAGTATGTACTAAGGATAAAAATTAAACTGTGGAGGGAATATAGGGAGTATGGGATGGGATGAGGTAAAAAAAAATTTTGGGGATAGCTGGGACATCATTACCACTTAGAATGGGACATTTGGGTGGGGACCTAAAGGGAATAAAACCTTGTTGCAATAGATTATTGCTATAAGAATTGTTCCCCCACCCTCCATTTATATAGTTCCCTCTACCATCACTCTCTCTGTGATGTAGAGGGGACTCTTAGCTCCAATTTTATTATCTCTGTCTCCCCAGAGAACGTGACGATTAAAGAAAGCCTTAAGGAAGAATGTTTATACAGACTGGTTAAACTTCCCAAACTGGCCACTAGGAGACAGCCCCGCTCCACTCTTGAGGTTCCTAAAGGGTCAGAGTGAACCCTGGAGGCCCCTATATCTTGTTAAAAGAACTTGTGTACAGGTACTATATACTTTTATTTTGGAAAAGTCAAAATTAAGATGGAATTATGCTGGGAGTTGTCATCCTGGGTTGTTATAATATGCACAGCTTCAAGGAAGGTGTGTGGGCAAAAAACGAAGGAACTTCAGGAGAGATTTGAAAGAGACTGGTTAGAAAGGCAACAAGAGGCCTGGCTGCTATCCTGAGCCACTTGAGGAACTTATAAAATGTTTGCATTAATAAGGTATGTAGTGAGACTGGAGGAGAGGGAGGAATGTGAGTATGACACAAGAAGGAATAACCTAGTGTGGTTGAGATGGTAGGAAGTGCCACCAAAAGCGCTTCCTGGGGGAGCTGGGCATGTGAGTTCTAATCATCAGTGCAGTCCAAGCATTGTGCAACTGAAGGAAAATTATTTTATCACTGTTTCTTAAAGTATTGAAGAGTAGAAGAACAAAATGAAGATCTAACTAGAGGATACAATGTTAAAAAAAAAGATAATCTGTACATTGAATCATAATGAAGACTTGGGGATTAAAAATAGGAGGATGGAAGTAAGGAGGGAAGAGGAAAAAAGAGAATACAAGATGTAAAGAGAGAAGAAAAGTTTTTATAAACTCACCAAGAATGAGAAAAACAGGGCAGTAGCAGAGAGGAAGTGCCAGATGTCATGGTCGTCAAAGAAATCCAGCAGAGTGCATTCTCGGTTCTTCTCCCGGGACTCGGCTGGCGTTCCCTGGAAGGAGGTGAGGCAGGATGTGGGGAAGCAGTCCCACAGTTCAACTCCATACAGGACGGAGCATCCAGAAACCTACAGTCACTACTAGATGCCTGGGTCACTACATTATCATTAGCTTCCAAGAAAACATACGTCCACACAAAAATGTGTCCACAGATGTTCATAGCAGCAGCATTCATAGAAGCCAAAAACTGGAAACAACCCAAATGTTCATCCATTGAACATCTGCTAAAATGAGGCATATTCATACAATGGAATGAAAAGTGAAAGTGTTAGTTGCTCAGTGGTGTCTCACTATTTGCGACCCCATGAACTGCAGCTCACCAGGTTACTCTGTCCATGGCATTCTCCAAGCAATAATACTGGAGTGGGTAGCCATTCCCTTCTCCAGGGGATTTTCTTGACCCAGGGAATGAACCCTGGTCTCCTACATTGCAGGAAGAATCTTTACTGTCTGAGCCATTATTCAGCAATAAAAACACATGATACTGACATAATGTGATCTGTACATGGGTGGACCTAGGAAACATTACACAGAGAAGGCAGACTCAGACTGCATATGATTCCATTTATATGAAATGTCCAGGATAGGTAGATCTATAGAGACAAGATTAGTGGTTGCCTCAGGCTAAGGGGTTAGGGAGAAATGGGGAGTGACTGCTAATGGATGTAGGATTTTTCCTGGGGTGATAAAAATGTTTTGACATTGATTGCGGTGGTTATGGTGATGGGGAGCTAAGACTTCCTCCCTATTCTATGCCTCACATGCATCACCAGTTTCCTAGGCCTCAGCTTTCCTATCTGTCAAATGGATTTATACACACCTGCATCTGGGTATCTGGATGATGACTATGATAAGGTGGAGATGATAAACTAATCAAGCTTTCTGTACATATTAAGCATCCATTGGGAACAGGATTGCAATTATAATACAACACACAGTGAAGATCACATTGGCAGTGGGGATAGGACTTCATGTTTAAGAAGCGCCACCCCAATAATAATGACATGGCATTTATTGAGCATTTAAGTGTGGATATTTATATAAAACCAACCCCTTTTAAAAAAGCTTTCACATTAGAGAATATAAAAACGATAAACAGCAATAAGCCCGTGAAGAGAGGGAGGTAGGAAGGTCAGAAAAGCAAGATGGAGAGAGCACATTGTCCAGGAGATAAACACTCTTCTCTTACCTCCCAGCTGCTGAGATTCTGGAAGAAAAAATACAGGGCGGCAGCCCACACTACAGCGGTGGCGACAATGCAGAAAAGTGGGATCAGGAGGATCTTCTCGGAGCTGCGAAGCTGTGGGTGAGAAGCAAATGCTGCCAGGCTGCATGCATCACCTGCTCACCTGAGGAGGACCCATGGTGCCGAGCCAGCAGCCACTCTTACCTTCATGATGATGTAAAAGGCCAGGTAGAGCAGCAGGTTGCAGATGAAGATGCCCAGCATGTAGGAAGCGAAGTCCCGGGGTCGGTTGATGAGTCCAAAGAGGGCACTGAGTGCAGAGAGGAATTGTTGTGTAGCCAGGAAGCTGGATTTATAGTATTACCGACCCTTCCAACCCCCACCCCCATTTCTGCTGGGAGGGGAATTAAAAACCTTTCAACTTTCAATTTATTAAATCTCTTTCAGAACATTCATTTTAATGATTGTAAAGTTCCTATCCATGGATGTACCTAAACCATACTCTCTAGTTTTCTCTTTGTCCTTCAGTTGTTCACTATTATAAAAACTGCAACAATGAATATCTTTAGACATATCATGCTTTTTTCTTTTTGCATTTAAGATGATTAGATTACTAGACATAGAATTGTCTCAGCAATTGGTTTGACACATATTACCAATTTTTAGCTAGCTGTCTAAATATTGAAGTTTATTTGGTTGGGATTTGGCCTTAATTTTATTCCAAATTTCTACTCGGTTATAACAGAAATCTTTATTATGTGGGGCTTCCCTGGTGGCTCACATGGTAAAGAATGCCTGCAATGCAGGGATGACAAAAATATTTATTATATAGCTCTTTCTTGTGGTTTTGAAAGCTTGTTTTTAATACAGACACACTATGCACATGTATGATATATAGTTGGATTTCTGGCCTCTTCATTCTGATTCACTAATTTATAATTTTGAATCAGTGCCTCACCATGTTGTTATTGTTTTATAGATTATCTAACATAGGTTGTCAGATGTAGTTTAGTCGCCAAGTTGTGTCCGACCCTTATGACCCCATGGACTGTAGCCCACCAGGCTCCTCTGTCCATGGGATTTTCCAGGCAAGAATATTGGAGTGGATTGCCATTTCCTTCTCCAGGGGATCTTCCTGACCCAGGGATCAAACCGGGGTCTCCTGTAATACAGGCAGATTCTTCACCAACTGAGCTACCAGGGAACTCCCAACATAGGTTAGGCTAGTTTGCACTATCCAATATGGTAACCACATGTGGCTATTTAAATAAAAATTAAATAAAATTGAAAGTGAATTTTCTCAGTCAGACCCCATTTCAAGTGCTCAATAACCACAAGTGTCTAATAAACATTTAAGCTTTGTTCCAGAAAGTTCTGTTGGATAGTGCTGGGCTGTCACTATACACCTCTGTGCCTTCTTTCTTCTGTTAATCCTTTGCAGAGATCTTTGAAAATTTTGTCTAACTAGGTAAATAAATTTCCGAATAAAATCCTATTAACTTAGTTCCATTTCTGGTTCTAAATTTGCACATTACCTTGAGAATTGATATCTTTACAATAGTTAATCTTCTCACCCCGGGCATGCTATCTTTCTTCATTTAGCTAAGTTTTTATCTACATCTCCTAATGAGGTAGTTAAATGTTTTGCAGAAAGATCCTACATATCTCTCAAAGTTTATTGCTAAGTATTTAAAGTGTAAAGCTGTTATTAACATTTTTGTTCATTTTTTTAAAACATTTTTTATTGAAGTATAGTTGATTTACAATGTTGTGCTAATTTCTGCTGTACAGCAAAGTGACTCAGTTATACACACATATATATTCTTTTAGTGTTCTTTTCCATTAGGATTTGTCTCAGGGTACTGAATATAGTTTCCTGTGCTATACAGTTAGGCCTTATTTATATTCTATATGTAATAGCTTGCATCTACTCACCTCAAACTCGCAGTCCACCCCTCCTCCATCCCCCTGCCCATCCCCTGCACTTGGCAACCATAAGTCTGTTCTCTATGTCTATGAATCCGTTTTGTGACTAGGTCCATTTGTGCCATATTTTAGATTTCACATATAAGTGGTATCATATATACCTGTCTTTCTCTTTCTGACTTACTTCATTTACTATGATAATCTCTAGTTGCATTGGATGCATCCATGTTGCATTCATGTTGCTGCAGATGGCGTTATTTCATTTTTTAATGGAAGAGTAATATCCCATTGTATATATGTACCACATCTTCTTTATCCATTTCTCTGTCAATGAACATTTAGATTGTTTCTATGTCTTGGATATTGTGAGTAGTGCTTCTATGAATGTATAAGTGCCCATTTCTTTTTGAATTATAGTTTATTGGATTACTGGATCATAGGGTAATTCTATTGTTAGTTTTCTGAGGAACCTCCATACTGTTGTCCAGAGTGGCTGCACCAACGTACATTCCCACCAACAGTGTAGGAGGGTTCCCTTTCCTCCATACCCTCTTTAGCATTTGCTGTTTGTAGACTTTTTAATGCTGGTCATTCTGACCAGTGTGAGGTGTTACCTCACTGTAGTTTGATTTGCATTTCTCTAATAATTAAGTGATGTGGAGCATCTTTTCATGTGTCTACTGGCCATCAGTATGTTTTCTTTGGAGAAAACTCTAGGTCTTCTGCCCATTTTTTGATTGGGATTTTTGTTTTCTTTATTATTGAGTTGTATAAGCTGGTTGTATGTTTTGGAAATTAAACCCTTGTTGGTCACATTGTTTGCAAATATTTTCTCCCATTCCATTGGTTGTTTTGTTATGATTTCCTTTGCTGTGCAAAATCTTGTAAGTCTGATTAGGCCCCATTTGTTTGTCTTTATTTTCATTTCTATTGCCTTGGGAGGCTGACCTGAGAAACCATTGGTATGATCTATATCAGAGAATGTTTTGCCTATAATCTCCTCTAGGAGTTTTATCAAGTCATATTTTGTGTTTAAGTCTTTAAACTATTTTGAGTTTATTTTTTTGTATGGTATAAAGGTGTGTTCTAACTTGACTGATTTATAGGTGGCTGTCCAGTTTTCCGAACACCAGGGATCAAACCAGGATTTTATTGTATTGGGTATTGTAATGGGAAAAGAGACTTTTTCCCATTGTATATTCTTGCCTCATTTATGGAAGATTAATTGACTATAGATATGTGAGTTTATTTCTCAGCTGTCTATTCTGTTCCATTGATTTGTATGTCTGTTTTTGTGCCAATATCATGCTGTTTTAATTGCTATAGTTTTATAGTATTGCCTAAAGTCTTGGAGGGTTATGCCTCTTGCTTTCTTCTTTTTCCTCAGAATCATTTTGGCAATTCAGGGTCTTTTATGGTTCCATTTAATCTGAGGATTGTTTGTTCTAGTTCTGTGAAAAGTATCATGGTAACTTGAAAGAGATTACATTAAATCTGTAGGTTGCCTTCAGTAGTATGACCACTTTAACAACATAAATTCTCCAAATCCAACAGCATGGGATAGCTTTCCACTGATTGTTTAAAAAAATACCTCTTAAACTCACACCTAAATAAATATATAAAATATTTAGGAATAAACCTGACAAAGGAGGTAAAACATTTATATGCTAAGAACTATAAAATATAATAAAGGAAATTAAAGATGATTCAAAGAAATGTTTTTGTTCACTTTTTATTCCAACTGACTTATAGGAAATTTCCTCTTCTCACAATTTGAAATCTTCAGTGTACTCTAAACTCTTGTATACTTTTCACACAGATTCATCAATTATTAGTATTTTGCCACATTTGTTTTATTTTCTCATTCTGTCTCTCTATATGTATACATACATCTCTCTATATATTAATATATATTAATGACTTTTGTAATATCCATGGGAAACTGATGGAGACCTTAGTGAGGAGGTAACCCCCCCTACTGGGCAGTCACAGTACTAGTGTCTCATTGTGCCTCATTTCCCTCCACCCTGCAGGTGTTGGTGTCCCACAGAGCTCCTGCTAAGAAGAGAAAGGCCATACACCTTGTCTTGTGAGCAGACTTGGTTTGATTTTAGTTCTATAAGAGGCAGGGACAGGCCAGGTGATTCTGACCCTCTGGACATTGTCATCGGTTTTTCATTATCATATCTCCTACCAGCACCCTCCGCCCTGTCTTACAAAGTCACTAGGACTGTAGGGTCTTCACTAAAAGGGTGGCCAAGAGAACATCACTGGTGATCATGGCCAAGAATCACCCATCTCAACATGTCCCTCAGTAAAGCACAGTCCTTCACAGGTATGGACCTTCCCCAAGGTAACCCCTGGAACAGCAACATTGTGGGAAGTTTATTTTGGATGCACATGGCCCCTAAATAAGATTCAAATTCTCATGACTTGATTCTGGTTTTCCTGGGGTGTGCTTCTTTCTTCATATCTGATACCTTAAAGGGATCTGTCTATCAAAGGTCACTGATCAGCTAAGAACCACTAGTACAAGCAGCTAAACTTACTTATTTTTTGAGAGAGAAATAAAATGTCACTCATTCACATTTTTAAGTATAAGTTGCAAACACTAGATACATAAAATATAGCTAGCATAAACGTACTTTTGCTGCACTGTTCTACTTTGAGGTCATTTGAGGAAGCAAAGGGGCTTCCCAGGTGACTCTAGTGGTAAAGAACCTGCCTGGTAAAGAAGTGAGAGACACGGGTTTGATCCTGGAGGAGAGCATGGCAGCCCACTACAGTATTCTTGCCTGGAGAATCCCATGGACAGAGGAGCCTGGCGGGTTACATAGTCCATAAGTTGCAAAGAGTTGGACACAAGTGAAGCAACAGCATGCATGCACGAGGAAACAAAGCCAAGGTAATAATGAAGGAAAAGAAAAGGAAGAAGAATGATAAACGCGGAGTAGGAAGACTGAGACCTGGAGGGAAAGAAAGAAACAGGAGACACACACACACACACACACACACACACACACACACACACACACACACACACACACACACACACACACACACACCATCCCATTCCCCCTAGTAAGAAAGAGAAATGCCTACTGGGTAGCATTATGGAAAGCTCTAAATAGTTTAAAATGGCTGCATTTTTGACTGCTGGCATAGTTAATCTCTCTCTTTATAAATATGTGTGTGTGTATGTATATGCATATATAGCTAATCTAATTTATCCACATAAATATAGCAAATTTGATGCTTGTCTTGTTGAACAAATGAGTTCCAGGCATCAACGTGTGGAACTCATTGCTTTAAGATAGGCCACTGCTCAGAGAAGGCAATGGCACCCAACTCCAGTACTCTTGCCTGGAGAATCCCAGGGATGGGGTCGCACAGAGTCAGACATGACTGAAGTGACTTAGCAGCAGTAGCAGGCCACTGCTAGTACACAAGTGCATTTTTTGCAGGGCAACAAGTAGCTTTCTTTCAAGTCTCTAGAACAAGCACAGTCCCACACTCTCCTTAATTTCAGATTTCTTTGTAAAAATGACAGCCAAGGAAAGCTAAGCCACAGTGTTACAGAGAAATTAGTAAAGAGAAAGACATGTTTTCCTAAGACTACTTACAAGGACCAGTTAACCAGGTTCCCCACGATGAGTAACACCATTCTGTCCTGGAAAGGAGGAGAGAAAACAGTGAATGAAAGGCTGCGTGCACTACTTCTTACCATACGGGAATTTCAATTATGGGAAAACTGCTTTAGTGAAAACGGTTTTTCTATCAATATAGGAGAGCTGTGCCTATGAATGAACACTAATCCTCTGAAGGACTAAATGGTAAAGCCTCCGACTGCAAGCAGATATGACCTCCTCCCTGTAAAAGAAGGCCTGGTAAGTAAAGCAGAAGTCTTGCTGTTTCCTTCCTGTTTTTAAAGGAGCTGGGCATCTGGGATTCTTTCCCTGGATTGTGGTGACTGGTGGGACTTAAGGCAGCTCTTGAGACACAACTGGAATTTGTTTCATTACTCTGGCTCCAAGGAGGTCCCGCAGCTCTCAGGCTTCTGGTTTCTAGACACATGATTTGGACACATTATTGACCGGAGACATATCAATACGTTTTAGAGAATGATACAATTGACATCACCGTGAGAAGCTGTTAGCACCTAAAATTGACCGAGAGCTCATAATATAATTCACGCTTGTTGTTATCTTTCACATTTTGCTCCATTTGGTTTTTGTTCCAATCTTGTGTATATTATAGGGCTTCCCTCATAGCTCAGTTGGTAAAGAATCCTCCTGCAATGCAGGAGACCCCGGTTCGATTCCTGGGAAGATGTGCTGGAGAAGGAATAGACTATCCACTCCAGTATTCTTGGACTTCCCTTGTGGCTCAGCTGGTCAAGAATCCACCAGCTATGCAGGAGACCTGGGTTTGATCCCTGGTTGGGAAGATTCCCTGGAGAAAGGGAAGGCTACCCACTCTAGTATTCTGAACTGGAGAATTCCATGGACTGTATAGTCTGTGGGGTTGCCAAGAGTCAGACATGATTGAGTGACTTTCACTTCACTGTATATATTATAAACTCAAGTGTATTACTATAAATTTTTTTAAATGATATATCACAAACTTTTGAGTGAAGAAGAATTTTTTGGTGAATTTTATGCAAATAGTTTCTCTGATAGTCTGAGTGACATATATACTAGTGTCTGAGAAGATCATAGTTCTTCAGAATATGGATCCAGATGATGTGATTATTAGACCAACAAAAAGACAAAAAACTTAGTGATTGATTCTGATACAGAAAGTGAAAATGAAATTCATGGTGCTAGAGAAGACTTCACAGGTGTGTCAGTTGTATATTGAATGTAATAACCTGCATAGTGCTAGTGCTAGTGAAATAACAGAATTTTTGGCTGGCCAAAATAAAAATTGCTGGCCACAGGCATTAGTTTCTGCAAAAATCCCCTGGTCAAAGATTAAATTTATTGGTACGGGAGAAAATAGAGAGGTAAGGTTCATCTCAAAGGACAATTACTCTAACAATAACTCTATTATTCATAATCTGCTTGTAAAACTTTTAGGTGCTATCTGATTATACTTTAGTTTTCATGGCCACTCATCTGTTTCAAAGTAGTGATTCTCTTTGTGGGTAATCTATTAAATTTTATTAAATAAAATCTATTTAATTTTAATAAAATTAAAATTTTATTTAATAGATTTTAAATAAAAATCTATTAAATAAAATCTATTAAATATTAAATAAACCTATTAAAAGAAATATCTTCCTTTAAAAAAAATTAATTCGCCTACTAGAAATACCAAAATCCAAAACACTAACACCAATTGCTGGTAAGGATATGGAGCAATTCTCATTCATGGCTAATGGGAATGCAAAATAGTCCAATCATTTGGAAGACAGTTTCCTAGAAAACTAAACATACTTTTACCATATGATCCAGCAATTGTGCTCCTTGGTATTTACCTAAAGAAGCTGAAAACAGGCCTATGCAAAAATGCCCACATTTTATAGCACAGTTTTTCATAACAGCCCAAACTTAGAAGCAACCAAAATGTCTTTCAATAGGTGAATGGATAAATAAACCATAGTACATCCAGGCAATGGAATATTAGCACTAAAAAGAAATGAGTTATCAAGCCATGAAAAGACATGCAGGAAACATAAGTGTATATTGTTAAGTGAAAGAAGCCAATCTGAAAAGACTATATGCTGTATTATTTCAGTCATACGACATTCTGGAAAAGATAAGACTAAAAGAGACAATAAAAAGATCAGTAGTTGGTGGGATTGGGGAGGGAGGGGGTGGGAAGAATAGGTAGGGCACAGAGGATTTTTAGGGCAGGGAACTACTTTGATGCTGTAATGATGAATTACAAACTCATCAAAAAACCCATAGTATGTACACCACCAGGAGTGAACTGTAATGTAAACTGCAGACTTGAAGTGACTATGATATGTTAACAGGTTCATCAACTAACAAACACGCCCCTCTGTTAGGGATGTTGATATGGGGGAAATTGTGCCTGTGTGGAGGAGGGGCATTTGAGAAATCTCCGTATTTTCTTCTCAATTTTCCCCGAACCTAAAACCTTTTAAAATACTCTAAAAATAGTCTATTTTTAAAAATACAGCATGCATCAATTAATGTAAAAACAAAAGCGCTAATTTCCCCATAAGGTTCACATCTGAGGCTTGTCTCCCATAATACTCACAGGTCCTAATGGGATTTTACATTCTCTCCTGAGTAAAACCCTCCAGCCTCAATTTCCTCAATTTTTAGTGCCTATAGCTCCTGCCCAAGCTCTACAGGGTTAAAGACATTCACATTTATATATTCTTTATATAAAAATCCTTCTGATTATAAACTATCAGCAGGAATTCAGTGGACACCTATGTGCCAGGCCCAAAGGGCCTGATTCTGACCACAGCCCTGGGTAAAGACTGGGGCAGTGGCTCAGAGGAGGGATGCAAGTTCTCTGGGGTCCCTGGCCAATGAGCCAAGGCAGCTGAGACCAGCACCCTGATCCCTCTGCTCACTGTAGAAACATGTAATATATTGAAAACTATAAGGCAGAATATTTAACAGTGTATTTTCACCAAGAACCAATAACTATAAATTTGAAGAAAGCATTCCTACTCACTGTCAGAATCAAACAGTACACAAAAAGCAAACAAATGAAAACTCTGGAAAGTATAAGTTCCTGATGAAAGTGATTGGAATGACCATATGATCCCGTTGGCTTGGGGTGGTCCAGGTGTCATCATTAATACTGCCTTCTATTCACAAATGAAATAGTCATACCTCTTGGGATGATTATTTTACAGGGACACTCTGTCTTGATCCTCCCTCCCTAGCAGTCATCACTGTTTGACAGTTTTATATATATTTTTTCTTTACATATTAGCAATTTTTGTGTAAAAAGGGCACCATTCCATCTTGTCTTTTAAGAGTGAGAAGAAAAGGAAGCAAGATGCCTCTTCCCTCACTAACTGGACCTCAGCCACCCTAGGCCATCTGGCCCCCTTGGTTTGGGGAGCCTTGAGTGACTGCCCTGCTATCCTGTTGTCTGGGAGAGGGCCAAGGGACACAAGGACATGCACGTACCATATACAGAGGCCGGCTGCACTGCTGGATGCAGTCTGTGTAGAACACCATAGCGGCCCACCGGAAAATTCCCCAATCTGCTGATGACACAATCGCATGGTGAGAAGGCTTAGTCACTAATAATATAGAACACTCCACTGTGGCCCGAGCTTTTGTGGCCAGGATGAAGATGTCCTCACCTCATAAAAGTCATGCTTTGCACCTAATAGGTCAATAATAAATACTTGCTTTAAAAAATGCACCACCACCCCCAACGCCACCAGGGATTTCATGGCAGGTGTGCCTTATCTGTGCAGCATCCCGCAGAAAGGCAAGCAAGATGAACACAGGGGACAAGCACTCACAGATCACTCGGGCAGTTGGCCAACCTGCCTATGGTCTCCTGTGGCTAAGTTTCGCTCTGTTGATGGTTTACTTTAGTGCTGTTTTCTTTACAGCAGAGATGTGATGGGGCTTCTCAAAAGTCACCTTAAAACATCTGCTCTCTCTAGACCATGGGAGGTCGTAACTTGTAAAGATTCAAATTTGTATTTCTCAGTGTGGTTAAAAGTCAGTAAAAATTAAACCAGGGGATACTAGGGACTATTGAGCATGTCCAGAAAGCCTGAATGTGGATTGAAACAATAGTCAAAGGAACATAGATGGGAGAGAGAGAGGGGGGAGCTTTTTTTTTTTAATGCAATCCTTCAAAAGGATGGTATGAAACACATTGAGTGTGCATGTTATAATTGTTAAATAAACAGGACCAGAGCCCCAGGTGGGGCTGTCCTGTGAGCCATCCACATGTAGATGTCACAGGCAAGGCTGGGGTCTGCCTGAAGTGAACATTTCAGTGAAGGTGGACTCCAGGTCTGTTGTGACTGCTGCTATTTTTCACGGCCAACCCTGGGTTCAGCTAAAGCAGCTGGACTAGATACACTCTGGGGCCGGGGGGAGGGGGATGTGCATGCACTAGCCCAGAGGAGGTGGGTTGGTTGGGGTGCATACCTGTCTCTGAGTCTCTCTCTGCACCCCCTTCCCACCAAATCCTGCCCAATCTGGAAGGGGTGTTCAGAAAGCAGACTTGGCAGGTCAGCCAGGCAGGTTGTTTTATTAAGAAAACAACCTAGAAAACCCCGGGAAGGACAGCTGAACATTACCTGTGTCAGACACATCTGAATCAGTGGGAAGCAGAAAAATGAGAAGAAAAAAAAAAAAGATTTGTAAGAAGGAGGCCAAACAGGTAAACTACGGATTGTTTTATTTTCCTCTAGAAATGGATGACTTTAATTTCGTTTTCTGGCTACAAAAGAAATGTTTTCTCATAAAGAACACAGACTGCTTCTGCCTGTTTCACATGTACAGAGCATGAGTCAGACTTTTCTCTCCCTGTGCTTTTTTGTGGACTCCTTGCAGCTTACACCCCTCCCTCTCTCTGTGGTCCTTTTGGGGAGGCAAGGGACACAACAGTGATTTAGGCAAGTAGCTCTGTAGTTTTCTGTCTGGGTTTCCCTGTTGGCTCAGATGGTAAAGAATCTGCCTGCAATGCAGGACACCTGGTTTTGATCCCTGGGTCAGGAAGTTCTCTGGGAGAAAGAAATGGCAATCCACTCCAATATTCTTGCCTGGGAAATCTAATGGACAGAGGAGCCTGGTGGGCTATAGTCCATGGGATTGCAAAAAGTCGGACATGACTGAGTGACTAACAACACTACACAGTGCTCTGCCTCCTTGCTGCCACTGTTCCTGTGTCCACATTTATTTTCAGGAAAGGCTTGAGGGCCACAGGAAAAGGAGTCTGTGATTTGAGAAAGCAAAGGCAGTTGTCTGACCACTCTCCACTAACCCAACTTCTTGCCTCTGGATTAAATGCAGATGCAGTTGTCACAATGAAATAGCGAATTTTCCTTTTGACTCTGGTAAATCTGTAACCACTTGGGGAAGACTCCCTAGGTACAGGAATTTAAAATATTCAGATAAGCTATGTGAAGACTATCTTCCCTTTGCTTCTCCAGACCCACCTGCCATGTCTCTGTCCCTACCATGCCTGGAGAGGCTGACTATAGGGACCATGCAGTGGGTCCCCTTAATTCCCTTGGGTTTGGACAGTGAGAAGCCCCAGCAGGAGACTGGAGGGACAGAGAAAGGACAGTCAGTTCAGAGTATGATAGTACTCTGCCTGGTACCCGCCCTGTGAGGCTGCCTGTCAACCAAAGGACATTGCTCCTTTCCTGCTGACTTGCTCTCCATGATGCACTCCTTCCACATCTTGGTAACCACTTCCTTTCTGCCCTTTTGGGCTTGTGGATAGTAAGCTTCTCTGCTCCTAACCTCAGGTTACTTTCATTCTTCTCTACTCCACTCCTATCCTATGGAGAGTCCCTTTGTGAATAAATCATTTGTCTTTGGGCATGGCATCTTTTTCCTGTTGGGACCCTGACAAACTATTTCATGGTTATAATAGACTACATTAAATTCCTCCTTTTAAAAAAGGTACGGGGCAAAGGTGATACAAATATATTAAAAGCCCCTCTATCTATTAATGGTCATGACCATTACATGTATCTGTATTCAGTTTTATTTTTCCAACTTGGAAAACCCAGAAAAATAGTGCTTAAATTATTTTCCTTTTGAGAATTTAGTTTGTACAGTTTCATTCACTTTTGAGTATGGAGGATGGGACATGAACAGAGAGCTGTACCAGATGTCCTACACAACTAGCTCATGATGCTTCCACTGGAGGAGTTGGAGGTACCCTGGCTATGTTAACACCAAGTACTAATCTACTGACCATGCCAAAAGGGAAAATTAAATTGCTAAAATGAGAGATTGTTTTATTTTGTTGTCTAGTCTTAAAGCTGGGCTTCTCTGGTGGCTCAGATGGTAAAGAATCTGCCCACAATGCGGGAGACTGGGTTCAATCCCTGGACTGGGAAGATCCCCTGGAGGAGGGCATGGCAATCCATTCCAGTATTCTTGCCTGGAGAATCCCCATGAACAGAGAAGCCTGGCAGGTTACAGTCCATGGGGTCGCAAAGAGTCAGACATGACTGAGCAACTAAGTACACAGCAGTTTTAAAGCCAATTGTTATATAGAATTGCTCTTAGATCTGGGCAACAGGGGTGCCATATTTGAAAAGCCCTCATTCCCCAGTGAGTGAGGAGTCTGCAGGGCAAGGGGACTGCTTCTCCCAGGCCATATTCTGAATTCCTGGACCCAAGAATTCCCTGCCCTGATGGCCTTGAGTTTGCTCTCAGAACCTGCATAAACTTTTCCCCTGGTTTATTTTCCTGAGGGCAGTATGCACTTCTAGAGGCAAGGAATGGCCAATTGGATGTTGGACAAGTGTGTCCATATGCATACCTGTGAGACCCCTTTAGATGCAGGACAGAGACAGGAGTGGGAAGAAAAGAGGGGCAGGGGCTGGAGACCAGCTCTCCTATAACAGCTGTGTTCTGTTCTATGTTCTATGGTATTCTCTCATGCACCTGAGAATTTTAAATTTGAGCTTGTACCTTTTAGGTTGTAATAAAGGTGTATTTATCAGTTATTGGTCTGCTTTCTTTCTTCCCCATATATAATAGTGTTTTTAGTTTTCTTTATAACATAAACATTTTCATATGTTTGGTGTATAGACTTTTATTTACAATCTTGCCTTGGCTCTGAAAATATTAGGGATGAGCCTCTATGTTTATATATGTTGGTTTTTCTTGAAATATACAAATGAATATTTGAGTCTGACTTCCCATACCTTAAAATGATGGGTGAAATTTAGATGCTCTAATATGACTTGCTCCCATGTATTTTGAATGACCAACAGTAGATCAGAAGCTGATTTCCACAGGATCCTAGGCATTCTAACATGATCTGTTTACAATGTCAGAGAATGTTAGGCAGGTATCCTGCCTCTGAGATTGACAAGTTGGTCTCTAAAATTTCCAGTCCCAGAATTTGAAAAGAATATATAAATTCTCGATAGCCACTTAGCATGGTTAGAGAAATACTCTTTTTAAATACTACAAACTGAGAAATACTCTTTTTGGTGGAAGTAGCAGTCTGATGATCATACTGTTCTGCAAACACACTTTCAAAGCTTGGTGAATTGCAAAGCTTTTGAGACTTGGAGTTAGATGGATTCCTCAGCTCTGAGCTAGCTTAGTTTCTCAGTTGAAAACAGAACTAGTGATAATAAGTTGCTGAAATTTTATACAGGAGAGGAAGCTCTTAGAGAGAATATATGCTAATAAACACACACAATTCAGAGCATGTGTTCACAGTGACCAGTAACACTCCCATTTAGGATAAGCAGGACAATTTCTTCTCAGGGAGGGGGGCGTTAAATGGCATGTTTAGTATAGAGGAACAGGTGACTCACCTATCTTGAAACGACCCATGTAGTAGATCTGGGTGCTGAGGGCCAGAGAAGCCAGAATATGGATTGCAGAGAAGATGACCCAGAACCACACGTCATTTTTCCCAAACACCTAGAAGTAAAGACAGAAGTTACCCTCATCTATTTTTTCCCCCAAAGAACTCACTAAAGTTGTTCCGTCTCTTGTGCATGCATACGTTGTCAAAAACCGAGCTGTGTTTATATTTTGGATTTCCCTGTCCTCTGAGCTCTCAGGGATCTTACTACACTTAGAGAAAGAGAAATAATGGCTACCTGGCCGCATGAAAAAGAAAGAAATGGTAAAGGGCAGCAGAGGGCGAGGCAGCTGAACAGCAGTCGAAGAGGCAGTCGGTCTACAGTTGGAGGCTGATGCTCTCCAAATAAGAGAAGATGACTGACACTTGTCCACACACATTTGGGAAGTGGCTTCTCTTCTTTCAGGTCAGTCTCTGTCCCACTAGGCCTATGTGTGTCTATTTCAGTTTTACATGAGTCAGGTCCCAGCTCTATATTAACACTATCCAGGGTCAGTTATACAGGGATCCGTTACAGTATCAAAAATTCTAGCTAAATAACAAAAATGCCATGAATGGACCAATGATGAGAGTGTGTCATGGGCCAAGGATTATGATTAATTAAACCTGTACACCTGAGGTCCAAAAAACCCACAAACAATAAAAATCCTCCCAAGAGGGCTGCTGGCTGTGGGGAGGGACACACCACTCCGAGGACGGTGAGTGTGATGACCAGGGCAAAGGAGGCGTAGGCGGCGTAGGCGCTGGCGTTGATGTCCGGGTGGCGGGTCTGGTAGAGCTTCAGCATGCAGAGGCCGGCAATCATGTACATGAAGGAGGTGTCTGAGGAGGAGCCAAGACAGTCAGGATCCAGTAGGCGGCAGACAGATCTTTAGAGAATCCTACCCTCCCGGCCTTAGAGTATTTGCTGCCCTCAGCCCATGTGGTGACCTCCAGTGTAATAGCCTCCCCAGAAACATTCGAGGCAAACTCTACACACTCCACTTCTCACCCCCTCCAAGAGGGGGGCTCCTAGCTCATAAAAGTATCAGATGATATGATGAATAACTGACTACCCCCACTCGCAGGGGTGCACGTGTATAAATGCCCCTGTCCAATAACGAAAAAACCCCTAACAGTGACAGGATAGTGTGACAATAAAGAGAGTCCCAGCTGGACGCAGGAGGTCCTTCTCAGCGTCCTGAAATGTAACCTCACTGATTATTGCTCATGTACACAGCTTTCTAGCCTAGGGACAGGAGACACCTAGAAATTACACATGGCTTAGCTGTATGAGGGTTGCGGTTGTTTAGTTGCTAAGTCATGTCCAGCTTTTTTGTGACCCCATAGACTGTAGCCTACCAGGCTCCTCTGTCTATGGATTTCCCAGGCAAGAATATTGGAGTGGTTGCCATTTCCTTCTCCAGGGGATCTTCCCCACACAGGGATCAAACCCACATCTGATCCACCCATTGCAGGTGGATTCTTTACCATCTGAGCCACCAGGGAAGCTCCAGGAGGGTTAGGGGACTGTAAATTAAAACAACAATGTAATGTCCCATGTTACTAAAAAATGTGGCAAACTGTAAATATCTAACAATAACACAAATTAGTGATGATACGGGGGAAATGGGACCTCTCACTCAACTAGTGGGAGTGCAAATTAATACTCTGGGGAGAAACTTGGCTTTTTTCTTTTTTGGTAAAATGGAAGATACATAAAGCAGGTGATTCCCAAACTCTACTTCTAGGTGTTCCAGGGAACCTTTCTCAAATGTGCACAAAGAGACATATATGAAGATATTCATTGCAAAATTGTCTGTACCTGACCTGCCTCTTCAGAAATCTGTATGCAGGTCAGGAAGCAACAGTTAGAACTGGACATGGAAGAACAGACTGGTTCCAGATAGGAAAAGGAGTATGTCAAGGCTGTATATTGTCACCCTGCTTATTTAACTTATATGCAGAGTACATCATGAGAAACGCTGGGCTGGAGGAAGCACAAGCTGGAATCAAAATTGCCAGGAGAAATTTCAATAACCTATGATATGCAAATGACACCACCCTTATGGCAGAAAGTGAAGAAGAACTAAAGAGCCTCTTGATGAAAGTGAAAGAGGAGAGTGAAAAAGTTGGCTTAAAGCTCAACATTCAGAAAACTAAGATCATGGCACCTGGTCCCATCACCTCATGGCAAATAGATGGAGAAACAGTGGAAACAGTGGCAGACTTTATTTTTGGGGGCTCCAAAATCACTGCAGATGGTGACTGCAGCCATGAAATTAAGATGATTACTCTTTGGAAGAAAAGTTATGACCAACCTAGACAGCATGTTAAAAAGCAGACACATTACCTTGCCAACAAATGTCCATCTAGTCAAAGCTATGGTTTTTCCAGTAGTTATGTATGGATGTGAGAGTTGGACTATAAAGAAAGCTGAGCACTGAAGAATTGATGCTTTTGAACTGTGGTGTTGGAGAAGACTCTTGAGAGCCCCTTGGGCTGACTGCAAGGAGATCCAACCAGTGTGTCCTAAAGGAAATCAGTCATTGGAAGGACTGATGTTGAAGCTGAATTTCCAATACTTTGGCCATCTGATACTAAGAGCTGACTTATTTGAAAAGAGCCTGATACTGGGAAAGACTGAAGACAGGAGGAGAAGGCGACGGCAGAGGATGAGATGGTTGGATGGCATCACTGACTCAATGTGCGTGAGTTTGAGAAAACTCTGGGAGTTGGTGATGGGAGGCCTGGCATGCTGCAGTCCATGGGGTCGCAAAGAGTTGGACACGACTGAGCAACAGAACTGAACTGAACTGAGCAAAATACTGGCAACCTCGAAGTGCTGTTCAACAGAGAAATTAATAAATGCGCTGTATTTTTATTACATGGTGACAATCTTGAAAAATGAATGAACTGGATATCCTTGATTCATTACCAATAAATCTTGAAAACATTGTTGAATGAAAAAAGGGTGTAGAACACAGTGATAAATTATTATTAATTTGTTATTCAAATTAAAATGAAAAACTATTCAAATGAAGAAAAATTATAAAAACAAACTAGAAATATAATATAAAATTAATTAAATATAATAAAATTAATAAATTTAAATAAAAATAAAATTAATAAAATATAAAATTAATCATAGTTGTTGCTTCTAAGGAAGGAGAGAGTGGACAAGTTTGGAAAGCAGTTAAAATGGGACCTCAACTTTACACAATGTTGTATTTCTTTAACAAAGTAGATTAAAGCAAATATTTAAAGTTTTGGCATTTGTTCCTTCTGAGTGGTGAATGGTATTGTTCTCTATAGATTTCCTCTATTAAAAATGTCATCTAATTTTAAAAAGTTAAAATATGACAGAATTTCTGTGATGTTAACAGCTGGAGGCTAGAGCACAAACACAAAATGACTATTTTCAAAATTCACATCCTCAAGTGCGGAGGACATTGTTAATTGCCTTCTTCCAGTATCAGCTATTCCTGCTCCATCCTAATAGCATGAAGATGCCAACTCAAATATCTCAGTTCCATTTCTGTTCAGAAATGCACACCTCACAGCTTGTTTGCTTAGGAAGGCTCACAGCACTTCTGGTTCCAGGGAAGTGTGTCCCCTGTCTAAAGGTAACCTCCCCTTCTTTGACATGGTGATCCCAGCCCAAATTAACCCACACACAGAAAGAATCTGAAGTGGATTCAGGGCTGTGTGAGCTATTGAGGAGTTAGGGGCTGTCATCTGGGGAAATGGGGAAAAGAACTTTCCTCGATTTCAAATGATGTCTCCTGGAAGCCAGCTTGCTGCCTCCCCCAGACATCATGGTATAGAGATAGGAAGCAAAGACCCAATGTAGCTATTTTTGCCAACAGGAGGAAACACAGCCTGAGGAGAAGACTAATATGCAGTCTGGGTGCAGCCAAGGCGGGTGGTCACAGAGCAGTGGAGCCAGGGCCACCGCTGGATTTGTGCTGATAAATATACTGGTTATTTAATCCGATTAGAGTTGGATTTTTTTTATTACTTTCAACCCGAAGCAGGCAAACTGCTTAGTTAAGCCAAGCTACATTGAGGGAGATTTCTAGATGCCTTGTTGGTAGATCTACATGACCTGCTGCCTGACACTTAACCCACTGCCTACCTGCAGACCTAGCCATAAGATCAATACTCAGTGTTCAGTGCTTTCTAGTCGATAAAATGTGGTCAGAGAGAAAAAATAATACAATTTGGGAAAATCATGTCCTGTAGCCAGGTACCCTCTGATCACTTCAGTACACGTAATGTCATTTAATCCTTGCAATACAAGATGGGCATTTTTGAGAGAGTCCCAGGATAAGACTCCTATACCTCAGATCTGTGTAGCTGATATAAATTGTGATTACCGAACTGGAAGTTGGAGTAATTGGGGCAGACGTGGTAACAAGCACTGAGCACCCCTTCCATCATCAGTGCAATGCCCATGGCATAGAAGAGACCGAAGTGTTTGGGAATCCCGTACTCCTGAAAAAGCAGGAAGCATGGTCAGTGGGAAGATCCTCATTAGTGATTTTGCCGCTGAACCCCGCACCCATGCTCTCGCCCTTTGTGGTCCCTTACACGTGACCCATCATCACATCAGATGTCCCTCCTACTTGCAGATCCTGCTTGGAACCATAACCCTTCCTAGCTCCCACCTCCCTCTACCTGCCCTCTACTCACCATGGCAAAGATATCCTTGGCTTCCAGAGCTCTTCGATGGAGAATGTCCCGGTGCAAGACTATCAGCAGGAAGAGGCAACCCAGGAGCACATGGCCCAGGTTACTGAGAATGTTGTTGAAGGCACTATAGAGACAGTGAGGGAGTCAAGGCATCTGAGAGCTTCAGAGACTGAACGAAGGCACGGAGGAGCGAGTGAAATCAGCACTGTTTTTTACCAATAAAACTTTCCATGAGACTTCGGGACTGAAAATCATCAGAGAGCATCTTTGTCCTAACTCTGTGTTAGGATGCTTTGCTTAGCCTGTGATAATGTGTCCATTTCCTCCCAGGAATGCCTGTTCAGCCTCCCTAACACCTGTTAATCCTCTCTTGTCCCGATGGCACTGGCAGGGAATGAATCCTAGGAAAGAGCTATTCTGCAGATGGGCAGCTGGGCCATTCAGCTAGTTGCAAGAATGAATTCAAATACATGGACCCATGTTATATGTCAATATTCAGCTCTGTAACTGTGAATTTCAGGATAAGTATCAACTGGTCAGTCAGCAGATTTCTTTCAGAAAACTGAGACTAGTTCATTCTGGATGAAGAAGCCAGGCTCCCAATTGCCAGGAAATTCCCTCTTTCCACTTCACCATGTTCTGGAGGATGGAGCACAGCCTTGGGAGCAACAGGTCCAGCTATGAGGCCCAACATCACTCACAGTTGAGGGAGCTTCTGCGAGTCCTTGCCTTTCTAACTAGCCTTAATATCTTTATCTAAAAATGGGGGTAATGAGACTTCTCTGGTGATCCAGTGGTTAAGGCTCCACACTGCCAATGCAGGGGGCATGGGTTTGATCCCTGGCCAGGGAACTAAGATCCCAATGCTGTGCAGTGCAGCCAAGAAAATAATTTTTTAATGATAATAATAATTAAAAATAATCTCCTTAAAAATAGCAATAAAACTACTAAATTAAAAAAAACAGTGGTAATAATAATCATATCTATCTCATGAGGTTGTTTAGTGGATTGAATGTATTTGCAGCTCATGCCCATAGACAAGGGTCATCACAGCGAGGGACCTGATATTTTCAAACACATCCCACCTTCTCCTTAGCAGATTATTCTTAGGGCTGTTTCCTGAGCTCCTCCCTGCTATACAGGAGTGGGAGAGGGATACCTACTCTCAAATCCTTGATTTCATTCCTGTTTACCCTTGATTAGGGCTTCCCTGGTGGCTCACATGGTAACAAATCTGTCTGCAATGCAGAAGACCCAGGTTCAATCCTGGGTAGGGAAGATCCCCTGGATAAAAAAATGGCAAGCCTACTCTAGTATTCTTGCCTGGGAAATTCCATGGACAGAGGAGCCTGGCAGGCTATAGTCCATGGGGTCCCAAAGAGTCAGACACAACTAAGCAATTACACTTACTTTTTGATTGAGGTAGTTTCCCACAATTGTTTCTAGTAATTTTTAAAAATACACATTCCACACCACATTACACAAAAAAAGGTGTCTCTCATTGCCTCATGGGCAACCAGAGGACTGGTCTTACCTCAAGACACCCAAGGGGTGAGCACAGAGGAAGTTATAGTAGCAGATATCCTGGTTGCCAGTGACGTTGACAACCTGTAAAAGCAAGAGCGAGAAGAGGAGATGCTGTCTGCCTCCATCCCCTGAGCCTGAAATTACAGAAAGCAGACCCCAGCGCTCGCAGTGATCAACTGTCAGAGATTTACAGTGTAACCAGTGATCCTTCTCAACAGGGGATGAGTCATTATCTCCAGCCTTTACACGGTACAGACACATTTCCTTTAAATGCTACCATCTTGCTTTGAACTGAAATATTCTGTGTCCCTCATTATGTAGCAAGGCAGAATCCAACTGAAAACATTTCCTTTGTTCTCATTGTAAAAGGATTCTGAAAGGATGCTAACATTGGGGCCTGCCTATCAGGACTGAAACAGTACATCCTATTTTCTAGATGAATCCTGGGAGTGTAAACAGCTGTCCCATCCTTTGCATTGAATTGATAACCACAGGGCAGGTGGACATAAGGAGATATGTCGTCAGTTTTCCATATTATCACTATCATTAAGAACCTTCCTAGACCACAGGATAGCTGTATCTTCTGACAGAGCCCCAAAGTATTCAGAGAATATTTAGAGTATAAATCGTGGTGCTCAAACCTTATAAAGTCCTTGTCCTCATCACGTATTAAGTATGGAATTGGTGAAATATTATTAAACTGTTGACTCTCAAATGTGGGTGTATACTGGAATCACAAGGAGTTTCATCAATATTTATCCTGATTCCAGTCTGATCTAACTACTGTGGGGTACAGCTTGGACACTGGTATTTTAAAAAATCTCACAGATGATTTGAACACACAACAAAATTTGAGAGCCATTGTAGTAGAAATACATTTAACCTGGTGCTATTCTAAATGGGCTTTTTCATGTGTCTTTGATCCTAGACAAGATCACTTATGTGACCTGGACCCTAGGGTTCTACAAACGTGGGGTGCAGTGGGGATTCTTAAGCTGTTTTAATTATTGTTTTTGTTTTAATTCTTGATTGCCTTTGCAAAATCTATTTATTTATTCTTCATTGCAAAGGGTCTTTTTTGCTGCATGTGGGCTTTCTCTAGTTGCAGCTAGTGGGGGCTACTCTCTACTTGTGGTGCGTGGGCTGCTCATTGTGGTGGCTTCCCTTGTTGTGGAGCATGGGCTCTAGAGCACAGGCTCAGAAGTTGTGGCACACAGGCTTAGTTATTCTGTGGCATGTGGGATCTTCCCACACCAGGGATCAAACTCGTGTTCCCTGCTTTGGAAGGTGGATTTCTATCCACTGTGCCACTAGGAAAGTGCTTTGTTTGTTTATTATTTATTTTATATTTCCTTTTCTTTTAATATTTTATTAGTGAAGCTGTTTTTACTTTTACAAAAAATATTGTAAAATATTTTTACAGCCGGGACACCAGCTAAATTAGATATCAGGTTTCTTTGTTTTGGTCTGGAACTTTACCCATCATCCCACGATGATCAAAAGTTCAGACTGGTTAAACAATAGACATAGCTGATAGATACCAAGACTGAATGAGTACAAGGTAATAATTTCAGATTGGTAGACAAAGTGATACAAGAGGTCTGTGATAAAACATTGGGGAACTAGATTTAAAGCTCAGTCAAAGACGACCCAATGGAGAAATCCTGTGGGAATCCAAATGAGAAATTAATTATTGGAAAGAGCTCTTTATACCTTTCTCTGTAAATTATAGCAAACATCTTTCTCTGTTTTATGAAAGCTGGGATTCGGGGGTTTGAGGCTACACTTACTGTTTGGTAGGTGATAACCAGTTGGATCACAGGCAGTGCATAAAACACAGCAATGGTAATGATGTTCCTATGCAGACAAAAGGAACCAGAAATGGTTATTTCCAAATTAACAATGGAATTTTTGCTCTTTTATTTTTTCAATCTTTCCACCCATAACTGCCTACTTAACTCACAAAAGTGATTAGAAACTGGTTACATGGTTCCTATTTCTCCAAACTTCCTCTCATACAATCATTTGCATAACAGTGTAAATAATACTTCTGGTTTAACGAAACTATCAATAAAGGCCTATCTCTTTAGGATATCATTAGATTAAAAATGATCGGAGAGTAGGTAATGGGTGATGGATCACATGAAGGGAATGTGGCTCTCTTAGCTACCTCTTAGTTCCAAAACGCTGGTCCCACTATGCTATGGAGTTCCACGTGACCCCCACTGGCTGGCTCTTGTTTCCCTCTAGCATCTGTGTCCAAGTAAAAGGTCATCCTTCCAGAGAAAAGAATGAGAGGAGTTGTCACACTGTCAGTCGGGGGTTTCTGAGGGAAAAGAGGGGACCCGGCCAGGCACCTCAGGCTTTCTGCCTGGAAGAAGGCTGCCTCTGTGTAGTCTATTTTTCGCAGGTCTATTTATCATTGGCTGATGGTATCATCTTGCCTCAGGGTGATTTCTAGCTACCCTGAGGTGCTCTAGGAGTCTCATCCCAGAAATCACTGGCTCTCCTAAGGGTAAGCCCTGGTGAGAGAAGAGGGAATGGTTCCAGTTTAACATGCCTCCTGGAAGATGGTTTTGGTATCTTCCTGGAAGAGGATTTAGTGTGTCCCTAAAAACACGGGATTCCACTACTGTTCTTATTTATACTTTGTATGTATTTCACTTAGGACTGGTTGCCTTTGATTGTGTTTTGTTTGTTTTTCCTATGCATTGTGGCTTAAACCCTTTAAACACCTATATGTGTGTCTCAGTAAACACCGAAACCTGTGATTTGGTCACTTATATGAATCACATAAGTCACTGTGACTTTTACAAAGAAAATTTTAATTTTACTAAAGAGAGCCATAGTCCTTCTCGTCATCTACTCACCAAAAATAAATCTTATACTTTTTGCTGACAATTCTTCGGTCCTTCCTGGACAGATCTGACAGGTAAAGGAACACCTGGGATGCCAAGTAAAAAGAGAATGCAAAACTGTATTTGGATTTCTTGCATAAAATACAAAGAATAGCTTTACACATTTCAGTTTAATCCCTCAATAGGGATTAAAATTATTAAACAAGACTTTTCTCGTAATTTTGCTTTTCCTAGGATACCTTTAAAAATCCTAGTATTTCCCTTGGCATTAGGGAAACTGGCTGATGTGAGAAACCCATTGGGAATCTTGAATGCTTCTTAAATCTCAAGAATTGATTTCCCAGTTTTCAGAGATGCCCACTGTGTGATTCTTGAATTACAGAGTTGAAACCATGCCATTCACCTTCATGTCACTTACTGGATACAACATAGTCTGATACATATGAGTCAGAAAGAAACGAGCTTTTACTCCTGAAGCATTTTATGTCTGGAACCAGGGTGTTTTTCCAAGTACACACTTCAGTGGAATCTTTTCTTCCACCTGGTTGGAACCCTTCCTCATTTTTGTCCATAATCAGCCACTTCAGATCCGTGAGCATTTTAGTGCTCTGTTCTCTATACTGCTGTCACTTTTTCCCTCCAGAAAGGAGTGTTAATTAACTGAGTATTGCTTTTAGTAGGTAGTTAAGCTTTATCTAAAAAGCCCCCTGAGAAATTTGACTTCCCCTGAAGAAAAAAAAATATAAATATAAATATAAAAAGGCAATTGAGGCATTGTTGAAGTTGTATTTGACTCCTGAACTTTCTGTCCTCTGGAGGGTATGGCCAGGCAGAGAGAGGTACCTTGGTGCGGATGATGTTCTTATCGCTCTCAATGTCTGGCATGGTGTCAAAGTCACTTTCCTCCACAGAGCTGTCAGTGTCTGACTGGCATGGCTGTCTACCATCAGAGGAGGACATTTGCCTGCCAGGACTGGAGCTTGACTCATCTGAAACAGAGGAGACTCTTCTGCCTTCCCAGGCTGAGAAGAACCCGTGGAACCCATCTCTCTTTGCAAAAAGCACAGTGCTGACTCATTCTTGGACACGTTATGTTGGTAAAAACCAACTCCTTACCCACAACACATGTTCTTTCAATTCTTCCTCAATGGACTTCTGATTTTCCTTGTCTCCTATTTTTATATTTAAATCACCTGTTTCTAGGGCTAAATACAAAATATAAAGGCATCTGCTCTATTAACTCTTTAGATGCAAAGATAATATGCTTATATTTCATGTTTCATATTTTGAAACATGAACACAAATATATAAACATACACATGCATGAACTTATGTATAGCATCTACCACATGTATATGTAAGCACCCACATATCCAGCAGCTATACATTTCTCATGGATAAGGTATTTGTACACTGAAATCCCCCACATGCTGTATCTGTGATTATATAATGGAAACCACATTCTCAGGAAGAATCCTTGTGCTCCTGTGAATGTTTCTGAGAGCAGATGGGAATTTGTGCAGCTTAATGAGCACATGAGCCAAGCCTACCTTCCACTTTTATTTCTTCTGTTCAGATGGTTAAAGAAAAAACAACAACAACAACAAAACCCTATTCTTGCAGAGCCAGAAATAAGCCTCTGACACTGAGTCCACATGCTTCTCAAAGTTACAGAATAACAGGGCAGGAATACAGGATTCCCAGCCCCTCTATACTGACAGCTTAAAGCATACCATTCATAGACCTGTAAGCATCATAGAAGTATGTGGAAGCATCAATGCCTTCCAGTGCTAATAGGACAGGGATCAGAATTCTGTCCCCTTAAGGCCACTTAACCAGCCTGAGGGTTGCCATATGAATGACTGGGTGTTAGTGAGCAGGTTCAATTATGAAGTTAGCCCAAATGGAGGGTTGCTAGGCTTCAGTCATGTTCACCTGCTGCACAGCCTCATCTTCTGAGCGCCCTTACTCCACTGAAACCTGAGGATGAAACAATGGGTCAATTGATGTTGGGCTCCCTGACATCAGACTCTTGATGCATTTTCCACACCATAAACTCAGGCTAGGTATGAAAAAAACCCCACAGGAGTTGACAGCAATGGTACAGAAAATTCTGCTTGAATGTGGCTAGCAGACTCAAGAAACAGATCAATAGAACCAGAAAAAAAGCTGGAAGGAAACCTCCAGATCACCCAGTCAATTAATCTTATACAATGACCACCTTGCCCACTTTCACAGTTATTAGTGGCTGGAGGGCCACTTGTATCCTATTCTTGGGAGAACCAGGAGACACTTCCATGAATGGACTCATTGTAAAAATACCTATTGCCCCGTAATTGCTCCCTTCAGGGGTACTGGCAGCAATGGGATTTGACACCGACATATTTCCAGAGCCTGTTAAAAAGAAAAACAAAGAGGCAAACACTTTGTGTCTAGTTGCTAGAATGAAAGGACACAACTTTAAATAGTTTGATTTTCTTTTCACTCTAATACAAGGAGCCTTCAGGTCAATTTTATGGTATGGAGGCCAAAAGTAGTTCACTACCCATTCCTGCATGACCCTTAAACTAGAAATGGTTTTAAATTTTTTAAATGGTTGGAGAAAAATCAGAAAAGCAATACTATTTTATGACAGGTGAAATTTTAGATTTTAAGTGTATATAAGGCTCTACCAGAACACAACCACTCATTTGAGTCTGGCTATGGCTACTTTTAGCTACCAAGGCAAAGAGGAGCAGTTGACAGAGACTCCATGGCCTGCAGAGCCTGAAATATTTACTATTTGGCACTTTCCAGAAAAAAAAATGTTGCTGATTCCTGCCTAACAGTATTGCAGAATCACAAGGAGTGTGGGCCCTGGAATCACTGTGAGAAAGTTCACCACTGAACACAAACACCAGAAACAAATTTCTATGATTAAGGCACTGTAATTCAGAGGTTTATTTGTCACAGCCATTAGCAGTACCCTAACTGTAGGCAGGATTAGCCCCGACAGGAAAGAAATTGCTGCACTCCTTGGAACAAACAATAGTGAACTATGTATAGTAATATGGGTTATTTGGGTCATAACGCAGAGATGGAATGGACTTCTCTGGTGGCTCAGACAGTAAAGGATCCACCTGCAATGCAGAAGACTTGGGTTCGATCCCCGAGTCAGGAAGATTCCCCTGGAGAAGGGAATGGCAACCCATTCCAGTATGCTTGCCTGGGAAATCCCATGGACAGAAGGCCCTGGCAGGCTGCAGTCCATGGGGTTGCAAAGAGTTGGACACGACTGAGTGATGAACATTTTCACTTTTTTTCAGAGATATAATAGGCGTGTCTGTTGCCGAATGGCTGGTGGCAGTGAGAGAAAAATATTTCTAAGATGGTGTTCCTCAAACTACTCCAGTGAGGTTTGGAAAGCCCCAGAGAAAACTGCCTCCTAAGCTTCTCACTGGTTATTTGAAAAGATGCTATCCCATTGAGTTTATCCACTTATGAGAATTAGGAGGAGCTGAACAAAGAGAACAGAAACAAGGATGCACGCATCTAGGCAGTTTCTCTGACTGACTTAGTGCCACAATATTTCCGGGGGCATGTTCCAGAGAACATTTCTCTGCTGCCTCCTAAGCTTTGTCAGGATCTGGGATATTGTCAGGCTGGTGGGAATTTCCATCATGTGTCTTCTTCCTGAGAGGTGAGATTGCTTGTATCACACTACAGGTGAAGAAGTCTGTGAGTTAACTAGTCAGTGTCTTGTACTTTTGCAGAGAAAACTATTTTCAGTGAAGACATGTAAGATATTCTATATCCTCATTGCAAATATATTTCCATTTCTTCTTTGAAAATATCATCTGTTACTCTTTACATTAATGCTACAGTATGCAACACATGTAAAAGAACCAAAAGCCTCAGACAATTAATTGTTTGTCACAATCAGCTCTTTTCATCCAGCTTTCAAACTTCATTCCCACTGGTGGACAGTAAAAACATTCATAGTTTGGGGAGCCAATCTGTAGGCTTCATCATGTTTTTACTCTTTGTGGGCCTATTCCTTTCCTCCATGGAGAAAAATAATTAAATCCTAAGTTCAAAACATTTAGCCAGTGAACAAATCAATAGCCTTGGAGACTCAATTTCCTCCCTCCTTTTGGTAGCCTAGCCAAGAGCCAGCTCAGTTGGACAGCAAGGCCTCTGGCTAATGCAACATTCCTGGCAGGCAAGGCAATTCCCAGGACTCTCACAATGGACCTTGGCATTGTTCCTAGGCTTGGAGACTCCTTGATATAGTTCTTACTATTTAGAGATAGTAGATGTTCCTTGGCTTTTCTTGGGCTCACCCATAAATATGTAACATGGTATCAACACCATTTAAATCTTTTGAGCACAGTAAGAGTATTATGGGAAGATGCCATGTACAGTTTGACCGACTCTCTTTGGCCAAGGACAGATTTGGCTGTATTTGGGCAGAGCGCTTTGCTGCTGCCACTACTGAGGTTAACAAGTACTATTACCACTATTACCACCACTGCTAGTACTGCTACTAAGGCTTCTATACTATTGCTGCAGTTGCTAATGCTACAACTACTGTCACTACTGCTGCCTAACGTAGAGTGTCTGACACACAGTTTTTGATAAACATTAGGCAGCAGTAGTGACAGTAGTGTGTGTCAGACACTCTTTTAAGTTCTTTCCAAGAATTCATTCTTTTTAATTTTTCAATAACCTTGTGACATGGGTACTATTACTATCACCATTTTAAAGATGACAAAAAGGAGGCACTCACAGATCAAGTCATTTGTCCCGAATCACTCAGATAGTGGATAGATAATGGTTCATTGCACTGATCTCAGTTAAAATTTATCTTCTTAATTGAAAAAAAAGGAAGGGATTTTCCTTTAACATATGAATAACTGGCAGTGAGTGTGTTGCTTTTATAGTGCTCATTTTTCAAAAGAGACAAGGAATTGAGGCACATTTGCATTTCCACTCATATATTCAAAAAAGGTACCTAAGCACAATATTTGTTTTTCAGATGGGCTGCTGCTGCTCATCTGTAATTCCTTATAGTGTATTCTTTTTATCAAGGTCATTGTGTGTGTGTGTGTGGGGAGAGGGGCAGGCGACTTATAGGAACCACCATTCTGGCCTCTTCCTTAGGTGATGTAACTTTCACATTTCCCTTAGTATCTTTCACATTTTTCTCTTTTCAAGCCTAAATTCCCTTCTTTTAATCATTAACTTAGGTCCTTGTTTACAGTGTAATTTAAAAAAATATTACATGTGAAAATAGTGAAAATGATACTAAAATCATAAACTGCAAAATTTCGGGTCTTTTCTGTTCCTAGGAAGCCCTCTGGTATGGGAACCAGATGAATGTGTAGGATAATGCTTGAGTTCCACGGGCGGGGAATGTGGCGGGGGGTTGAAGTGGTCTGTGGGAGGCAAAGCGTTTTTGTGTATGTGGTCGAAAGAGGCAAAAAAAAAAAAAAAAATGCAAAAACTAAAATCAAAGCAAGAGTGCAAACAAAAACAATCACTGTTTTGTTAGGCAGCAACTTCACTAAAAAGGAAAAGTCAGCTGTGTAAGTTTGTTCAGACTTGGATGATTTCTGCACTCTACTCTGGCTCACAGTTGAGCAGGACCTGGTTTCAGTATAGTCCCCAGTCCCTTGCACTCCAAAGCAACCACAACACCAACAGTTCTGTGATGGACAAGAGCATCAGAATTTTCATACGAAGTACAATTGTTCCAAATCTGTGCACTTTTATATGCACAATTAAATAGGAGATTGGCCAACATGGGATAACAATATTCTGTTAACTTTTCTAATGTCTAGAAATGCAAGAACCAAAGCACTGCCTCCCAAATTTCAAATGTGATTGATGCTCCCAGAAGGCAAGCCATATATGGTATATAGAAAGCAGAATTAAACACAATATACCAGTTTATAGGACATACTGAGATGTTCTGGCTTGGAATAAGCAAACATATAAAGTTGTGAATGAGCTCATCTTAATGAGAAAACTTGTTCTGGTATGTTTTTCTTTACACATGAGCCCTTTGCCATCTGTCTGCTTTGCTAACTTAGAATAGGATATGCTTGCTTGCCTTTTATATTAATTGCTCCATGTGAGGAGAAAAACTTCATTTCCTTTCGAGCAGGCTTGACTCTTTCAGGGACTTCACATTTATAACTGTCCTGCCTGCTTCTATCTCTAGCCTTAGAAGGTTGGAAGCTAAGAAGGAGTTGGAAATGATGTGAATGAGCTGCTGTAAGGTTTCATTTTTATGCCAGTTGGCTACCTATTCCAACTGGTGTCATGTTGTATTAATATGTTAAAAGTTGAGGAGAAAATAAGGAAGGCCATTCATCTTTTCAAGGATGTAAAAGTAAAATTCCTCTAGAAGAAAAAAACAGGCAAGCAAAATCAAGGAAATTTGGAATCGATCGGAGAGTCAATACTAGAACCTGAGACCCGTTACCACAGATTCTGAGGATGGCTTGTGTTCCCCAAATCGTCCGCACTCAGCACACTGCTTGTCTTCTCCCTTCTGGACCCTGCTGTCTGCTGGGAGGCTGATTCAGTAATAGCTCCATCCAGGGAAGGATCTGATTGGTCATTTGGTTCCTCAGTCTACAGACTAGTCAGGTTTGTCCAGCTCCCCTACTTGAGAAAGTAACCCCTTCTTAGGCTGCACGAAGCATCATGATGACAGCTCATGTGTCCCAGAGGCCTGTGAGTTATGCTTCGTCTGTCTCTCTTTTGAGGTGGTAACTGAATTTCTGTACAGGCTCTTTAACGGTGATGTGAAGTGTAAGGTTTCTCCACTGACAGAGTCCCTGAGTGAGAGAATGATAGTTGCTCAGTCGTGTCTGACTCTCTATGACCCATGGACTGTAGCCTGCCAGGCTCCTTTGTCCTTTAAGGAAATGTTTCTAGAACACAGAGGCTTGCCTGGTGCCCCTCAGATTACCAGAGAGGCCCCTGTCTTAAGTGACAATGGAGAATACGGGATCCATCCAGTCATACCACAGTAATCACGCCTCTTCTCGCCCGAAGCTGCTCTTTACAAACACTATTTCCACTTCATCTGGGCTCCAGGGTCTTATCTCCTTCTTCTTCCCATGAAGTATGAAAGAAATTCTTTTGCTTTTTTAGTTCAGTTGAAGCCAGTGTCAACATTTTTCAAATAAGACTTACAAACTGCAGGACAAATCAATGAAAAACAAAAGCAGGGGAGCTAACAGACTTTCCAAATGCAGCCATTCTGCTGCTGCTGCTAAGTTGCTTCAGTTGTGTCCGACTATGCGATAATTAAGAGCTGCCAACCATTTGGCGAATTGTAGGGACCTTGCTCCATATCCTCTACCTCAGGCACACCTAAGGTGAAAGCATCAGGACCAGTTCCTCTGATGTCTACCTCCACATTGATTGAGGCAGCCAGCAGGCCAAGTCTAGTGGGATCCCCTCTTTCAGACTCTGCTCCTAGCATTTTTTTCTAGGCTCTAGCCCCCAGGGCACTTCCTGTATCTCTGAGCTCAGTTAAACTTCCTGTAGCGCCTATGGGCACACTGATCCTGGCCCTTCTGTATCCTTGCTCTTCTCCAGAATTTCCTCCCGTGAATCTCTCACATTAGACTACAGGTAAAATCCCTCACTTACTTTTGTCTCTTGCTCCAGACTGGTTTCTCAGTGATCTGCTTCCTACGATTAAGAGTCACTAACTGGTTCTTTCCTAGGATGGAGATTGTCTTTTCTGCTCTTTTTTGCAGCACCTGAGTCTTGTCTCACCAGTGGTCACGTGCTGTCTTTCCCCACAACCTCTCCGCATGACAAAGGTCCCTTTCGTGCATGTGTGCTCAGTCGCTTCAGTTGTGTCTGACTCTTTGTGACCCTATGGACTGTAGCCCACCAGACTCCACTGTCCGTGGAATTCTCCAGGCAAGAATACTGGAGTGGATTGCCATGCCTCCTCCAGGGGATCTTCCTGATCCAGGGATGGAACCCTTGTCTCTTGCATCAGCAGGCAGGTTCTTTACCTCTAGTGCCACCTGGGAAGCCCACAAAGGTTCCTTGCTACTGCTAAGTCACTTCAGTCGTGTCCGACTCTGTGCGACCCCATCCCTGAGATTCTCCAGGCAAGAACACTTGAGTGGGTTGCCATTTCCTTCTCCAATGCATGAAAGTGAAAAGTGAAAGTGAAGTCGCTCAGTCATGTCCGACTCTTCGTGACCCCATGGACTGCAGCCTACCAGGCTCCTCCATCCATGGGATTTTCCAGGCAAGAGTACTGGAGAGGGGTGCCATTGCCTTCTCCGATAAAGGTTCCTTACTTCCTCCTAATTTCAAAGCCCTTTGGCATGAACATTCCTATTTTCTAACTAAGCCAGGATTTTGTTCCTGTCTTCTCACCTGTGCCTGGCAGCCCACGTTTTTAAATCAGTGATTCTCAGCTGGGGGTAGGAGTAGGGGGGACATTTTGCTCCCAGAAGGACATTTGACAATGTCTGGGAATATTTTCTATTGTCACAAGGAGGGAGTGTATTACTGAATTCTAATAGATTGAGGTGAAGAATGTGGTTAAACATCCTACAATGTACAGGGCAGCTCCCAACAATAAAGAATCATCTGACTGTAGTGTCAATAATGTTGAGTTTGAGAAACCCTGATCCTAGAGAAGGATGACCTAACCCTAATTCTATAAGCAGGCTTGACTGATCTTAGGTAAATAGATTCCTTAGGAGTGACTGGTTTAGAAATAAGTATATGATCCATTCTAGGACAATGAAACATGAAAGAAGCTTCTAGGTGCTTCTGAAAAAGGGGAAAAGCAGAACCAGGGGAATGGCAAGCAAAAGGACCTGAGCCACTGGATTCAGTGAATCCTGAAGTTCACCTTTTTGCTCAACTTTCAGGGAGAGGAGACACTCTTTATTGTTTAAGTATGTTTGAGATAAACTTTGTTTTTACCTGCAGCCACATGAATCCAACTGATGCATCTTTATTTATTTATTTTTTGGATCACTCATCCATTTCTGCTTGCCATCTGAAGGGTACCTCTAGCTCTGAGCTAATTTTTAGAGCCTTCTTGATCTTGTCAACACTAAGTAACTCATGCTGATTTAGACTTTTTAGAAAATAGGATACATAAAAGGTACCAACTTCCAGTTTTAAAATATAAGTCCTGAGGATGTCCTGTACAACATGGTGACTAGAGTTAATAATAATGTACTGCATACTTGAAAGTTGCTAAAAGAATTGATCTTAAAAATTCTCACCACAAGAAAAAATTATGTGTAGTGATGGATCACCTTGGGCTTCCCCGGTAGCTCAGATGGTAAAGCGTCTGCCTGCAATGCAGGAGACCAGGGTTCGATCCTTGGGTTGGGAAGATCCCCTGGAGAAAGAAATGGCAACCCACTCCAGTACTCTTGCCTGGAAAATTGCATGGATGGAGGAGCCTGGTAGGCTACAGTCCATGGGATCGCAAAGAGTCAGACACGACTAAGCAACTTCACTGGTGGTGATGGATGTTAATTAGATTTCCAGTGGTGATCATTTTGCAGTCTATACAAGTATAGAATCATGCTGTACACCCAAAACTTATACTGTGTTATATGATTGGTTCTTACTAGCTCTGCTTTCTGTAGAAAGACTACAGATTAAACCACTCTGGAGGGATGGGAATCAACAGAGGATTTGAAAATCACAGAAGTCAAAGAGACAGAAGTACCAGTAAAAGTTATCTTTTACTGGACATCAGTTTGAATTGAAACCAGGGATTTTTCTTACCATCATTGGAACCAAAGCTTCCATCAGTGGATTTTCTCTGAAACCTGCAGACAAGACATACACATGTTCCTAAGACAGCAAAAACCTAAGCATTTTATGTTTGTTTCCATAGACTTTGTTGCAGATTTCTCTGCTGGGATCTCAAATGGACCTTTGGAGGTACAGAAATTGGAACTCTGACACACTGCTGGTAGAACTGTAAAATGGAGCAGCCACTTTGAAAAACCATTTGGCAGTTCCTCAAAAAGGTAAACCTAGAGATGCAATATGACCCAGCAATTCCACACCTAGGCACATAAGGCACATACATGCCATTTATTTCCACATTCATTTATTTTCAGATCATTCACATGCCGTAAAATTCATCCTTTAATGTGCACAATTCAACCAATTTTAGTATATTCACAAAGTTGGGCAACCATCACTATTCTCTACGTCCAGAACATTTTCATCATCACCCAAAGAAATCTCAAACAATAGCAGTCACTCCCCATTCTCTATTTATCCCTGCCCTGGGGAAACACTAATGTACTTTTTACTGCTATAAAATTGCCTATTCTGGATATTTCATGTATAAATGGAATTATATTGTATGTGGTCTCTTTGTCTTCTCTCACTTAGCATAATGCTGTGTGGTAGCATGAATGAATATGTAAATCTTTTTTAAATGTTTGATTTTATTGGAGTATAGTTGATTTATAATGTTGTACTAGATTCAGGTGTACAGCAAAGTGATTCAGTTACACATATACATACATTCATTCTTTTTTAGGTTCTTTTCTCATATGGATTATCACAGAATATTGAGTAGAGCTTCCTGTGTTATACAGCAGGTCCTTGTTGATTATTTATCTTATGTATAGTAGTATGTGTGTGTCCATCCCAAGCTCCTGATATATCTCTCCACTCTTTCCCCCTTTATAACCAGAAATTTCTTTTTGATATCTGTAAGTCTGTTTCTGTTTTGTACATAAGTTTCATTTGTATCTTTTTAAAAAATGAGATTCCATGTAAGAGTGATGTCATATAATATTTGTCTTTCTCTGTCTGACTTAGTATGATAATCTCTAGGTCCCTCCATGTTACTGCAAATGGCATTATTTTGTTCATTTTCATGGCTGAATAATATTCCATTATATGTGTGTGTGAGTGTGTGTGTATGTGTGCACACGTGTTCGCACACACACACACATACCATATCTTCTTTTTCCATCCCTCTGTTGATGGACACTTAGGTTGCTTCCATGTCTTGGCTATTGTAAACAGTGCTACAATGAACATCAGAGTGCATATATCCTTTCAGATTATGATTTTCTCTGGATATATGCTGAGGAGTGAGATTGCTGGATCATATGGTAGTTCTATTTTTTCTTCTTTATTTTTTAAACTATGAAAGTATGATAACACATTTATAAGAGACTCCAAAAATACAGAACAAAGTTACATATAGTTCCACTATATATTACAATTATTTCTTAAAGTAGGTAAATTAAGATTTTTAGTTGGCGTTTCAACATCAAACTCTCAAAAATTAATAGAATGTATAGACAGAAAAGTAAAAGGAAAAACATGGAACACTTCATGAATTTGCATGTCATCCTTGCGCAGGGGTCATGCTAATCTTCTCTTTATTGTTCCAATTTTAGTATATGTGTTGCCCAAGTGAGCACTGGTAGTTCTATTTTTAGTTTTTTAAGGAACTTGCATACTGTTCTCCATGATGACTGTATCAATTTACATTCCCACCAACAGTGTAGGAATGTAGTTCTCCAAACTGTCTTCAGCATTTATTGTTTGTAAACTTAAAAAAAAATATTCATTTGACAGCTTGGAGTCTTAGTTGCAGCACTTGGGGTCTTTTGCTGCAGTGCAGACTCTCTAGCTGTGGTGAATGGATTTAGTAATTGCGACGTGGGGGAGTAGTTGTTCTTCTGCCCAACCAGGGATCAAACACATATCCAGGGTGTTTGATGCGTGTTGATCCCTAGTTGCATTGCAGGGTGGATTCTCAACCACTGAACCAGCAGGGAAGTCCCTATTGTTTGTAAACTTTGATGATAACCATCCTGATTGGTGTGTGGTGATATCTGTATGTAATTCTGATTTGCATTTCTCTGATAGTGATGTTGAGCATCTTTTCATGTGCTTTCTGGCCATCTCCATGCCTTCTTTGGAGAAATGTCTATTTAGATTTTCTGCCCATTTTTTTGATTGGGTTTTTTTTTTTTTTTTTGGACAGAGAACTGCATGAGCTGTTTGTATATTTTGGGAATTAATCCCTTTTCGGTCACTTCATTTGCAAGTACTTTCTCCCATTCACTGGGTTGTCTTTTTGTCTTGTTTAGGGTTTCCTTTGCTGTGCAGACGCTTTTAATTAGGCCCTGTTTGTTTATTTTTGTTTTTATTTTCATTACTCTAAGAGGTGGATCAAAAATAGATTGCTGCAATTTATGTTAAAGGATGTTCTGCCTATGTTTTTCTCTGAGTTTTTTTTTTCTCTGAGTTTTATCGTGTCCAGCTTTACATTTAGGTGTTTGATTTGTTATAGCTTTTGTGTGTGTGTGTGTATGTACAGTGTTAGAGAATGTTCTAATTTCATTCTTTTACATGTAGCTGTCCAGTTTTCCCAGCACCACTCATTGAAAATCTTTTTATGGCTGGATAATCATATCTATTGTATGGATATACCAAGTTTATTTGTTTATACTTGATGTACACTTTGATTATTTCCACATTTTAGCTATCATGAATAGCACTGCTATGAATATTTGTGTGCAAGTTTTTGTGTGGATATATGTGTTAAATTCTCTTGGGTATATATCTAGGAATGGAAGTGGTTGGTATGAGGTAACTCTATGTTTAACTTTTTTTTTAAAAGCTGTTTTCCACTGCAACTTGATAGCAGGAGCTATTTTACATTCCCACTAGCAATGTAGAAGTTTCTCATTTCCCTGACATCATCATCAACTCTTGTTATTTTTCCAGTAAAATTTTTTATTGTAACCATCCTAGTGGATATAATACGATATCTCATTGTAGTCTGACTTGCATTTCCTTGATGGCTAATGATTTTAAACATCTTTTCATATGCTTATTGGCCATTTATATATTTTCTTTGGAGAAACATCTATTTAATTAAAAAATGCCATTTTAAAATTGGGATATTTTTCTTTTTATCATTGGGTTGGAAGGATTCTTAATATAGTTGTAAATACTAGACTATTATGGATATATGATTTGCAAACATTTTTTTCCAATTTTTTTGTGTTGTATTTTCACTTTCTTGATAATGTCTTTAAAAATACAAACATTTTAATTTTGATGAAGTCCAACTTATTTGGACTATTTTTTTTTTTTGTTACTTGCACTTTGGGTGTCATATCTAAGAAACTATTACCTAATCCTGTGTTTTCTTCTAAGAATTTTATACATTTGACTCTTTTATTTAGATCTTTGTTCTATTTAGAGTTTACTTTTTTGTATGTTCTGAGGTAGTGCTGAAGCTGAAATTCCAATGCTTTGGCCACCTGATGTGAAGAACTGACTCATTTGAAAAGACCCTGATGCTGGGTAAGATTGAAGGCAGGAGGAGAAGGGGAAGACAGAGGATGAGATGGTTGGATGGCATCATTGACTCAATGGACATAAGTTTAAGTAAGCTCTGCGAGTTGGCAATGGACAGGGAGGCTTGTCGTGCTGCAGTCCAAGGGGTCATAAAGAGTCAGACATGACTGAGCGGCTGAACCGATCTGAACTGAGGTAGGTGTACAAGTTCATTCTTTTTCATGTGGAAGCCGAAGTGTCTCAGTAGTATTTGTTGAAAAGAATATTCTTGTTTCATTGAATTGTCTTGGTATATCCTTGTCAAAAATCAACTGACCATAAATGTAAGGGTTTATTTCTGAACTTTCAATTCCGTTTCATTGATCTATATGTCTTTTCTTATGTCAGTGCCAGAGGGTTTTTTTTTTTTTTTTAATATTTATTTATTTGACTGCCCTGTTCTTAGTTGTGACACCTGGGATGTTTTAGTTGTGGCATGTGAACTCTTAGTTGAGGCATGTGGGATCTAGTTCCCTGACAAGGAATCAAACCCAGGCCCCCTGCATTGGGAGTTCAGAGTCTTTGTTCTTTTTGTCATGATTGTTTTTCCTATTTGGGATCCCCTGCATTTCCATGTGAATTTTAGGATGAGTTTATCAATTTTTGGAAGAAAGTCAGCTGGAACTTTCATAGGAATTGTGTTGAATCTGTAGATCAGTTAGAGGAATATTGCCACATCTTTTAGTTTATATTGCTGCTATAACAAATTATCACAATATTATGGTTTACAACAATACACATTTATTATTTTCAGTTATGGATGTCAATTCTAAAATGAGTCTTATGTGGCTAACATTAAGATATCAGCAGGACTGTATTCCTTCTGAAAACTCCAAGGAAGGATCCACTTCTTTGCCTTTTCCAACTTCTAGAGGTAGCCTTCATTCCCTGAGGCATGGCTCCTTCCCCATCTTCAGATACGTTACTCTAACCTCTCCTTTCCTCAGCATACCTCCTCCTACTTTGACTCTCTTGCCTTTCTCTTATAAGGACCCTTGTGATTACATTAGAATGTATAATTACATTATACATTACACAGATAATCTAGGATAACCACCATAACTTTATCACATCTGTAAAATCTCTTTTGACATGTAAAGAATATAGTCACAGGTTCTAAATGTTAGAATATGGACATCTTTTGGGGGCCACTATTCTATCTACTATACCATTTAAACAATATTAAGTCTTCCAATTCATGAATATAGAATGTCTTTTCATATATTTAGGTTTTCTTTAATTTCTTTCAAGGATGTTTGTAGGTTTCAATGTACAAGTCTTATATTTAATTTGTTAAATTCTTTTCTTAAGTGTTTTATTTTTTTTGATGCTATTGTTAATAGATCATTTTCCTGACTTCATGTTTGAATTGTAAATTTGCTAGTGTATAGAAATACAATTGATTTCTGTATATTGATCTTGTATCCTATAATTTTGGAAA